CTTTAGTTCTATAGAGATACCTCAGGCCTGACCCCTCCTAGTGGCCGGAAAGTCGTAGTTCATGTCGCGCTCAGATGTGGCTTCAGGATTTGGAGCCTGGGGCGCTCTCACCCCAATAATTCTGCCATACCGGAACTCGAGTCGCAAAGTCAACCGTGGACCTCCACCACCCGAGGTCTTCTACCGCATGATGATCTTTGCCATTATCGGTGCATCCTTGATGTTTGCACCCTGGCAGTCATTGGTAGTGATATTTAGCAGCCGATCGGGGCCTAGGAGTAGTAGTAGGTTCGTGCTTTTGCTCCGCAGCAAACCGATAGTCCGTTAATGTGAATGTTCCTCGCTATATAACCCTTTGCGTTTCATGAGCTTTCGTAGAATTGGCAGTCAGTACATGCCCTTTAGCCTTCTTGCTCCTGCCGCAGTCTTTATTTCATCCCCAGTCGGCTGATATTTTGTGGCCTTAGAGCCTTAGAGCTGGGATCCAGTTACTATCCATATGGGAGTTGCCGAAAATTCGGGCCACCTTATTTTGGGGGTCCTTATAAAAGGTATCCTAGTATTCAGGGTGCTATATTAGGGTCCCCTATTTTCTGAAACTCCCATGTTCTACCATGAGGATCTGACCTCAATCATCGGGAAAGCACATGCCTAGTGCGGCAAAAGCCACCTCACAGGAAATCAACTGCACGATCATGGATGCACGTTTGCCGCCTATCAATTTCCTCTCTCAAACTGCGGGGAAGCTAGAGGAAATGTCCATTCGGCTGACTCTCTATATTGCGATGTTCCTCTCCTCTCTGTCTCCGTCTCTATGTCCGTCTGTCTCTCTCCCCCTCTCTCTCCCAATCTCATTCGTGACTCCTTACGTACATATTTACATGCCCACATATACACACGTACATACATAGATACATACGTGCATAGCTGCCATGCGCATAACGACGTATGTGCCTGCATATAGATTTGAACTCGTCCCGGCTTGAATTTTACAGTACATAGTCTACATACACACAGTTTTGATGTGGTTGCCGAAGTGCATGTCTGTGGGCATGTGCGTGCATCTGTTGTTTTTTAATTGCACCTGAACTTTCCCGTCTAGTCCGTCACTTGTCGCATGGTATGGGTTGCAGCACTAGACCAGGGTACAGACGCATGCACACGAAGGTCTGTTCATACTAGCCTTGTGCTCACACAGTGCGCTTGCATGGATTCTGCAGGCTACCGTAGCTTGCAACTCGATTTCTAGGGGCCCCTGAAAAAACCCGATAGATTAACCCTGAACCCTAAAACCCTACAAACCCTTATAAGAATTCAGCTCAGGTTCTGCTCCATGCCGGCCTACATGCCGTGCCTGCGAATGCCAAGGGAAAGGTTGCAGAGGAGGAGGGCTCAGAGACCCGGCTGCAGACAGGGTGTCTCGGACGGTTTAATCGCTCAGGCTTAGAGGGTTGTTTAGGTGTAGGACTCAATGCGGTTTGTGTTTGTGTCATATGTGGGCTTCTGAGTTTTCGTGTTTGAGCTTGAGTTTCTGTTCGTCTGTGCTCTTGCAGAGCATGTTTCTAGCTACCTAGGCCATACAAGTCTTACACAGGCAACATGCCAAAACTACCCTTTCTCGCTCCTCGCAGGAGCAGACCGCCCCAATCGTCTGAGAGGCTGGCGACCGACAGTCCCAAAGTGAGAGATGATCAGATCTTGATAGGATCACGGATTCTGAAACAGGAAGAAGTGTAGAGATGCTGCAGCAGTTCAGCCGGAGAAAGCTGCTGCCACACCGAGTCCATGAAGTTTCTCGCATTGAAGGTTTTGTGTGGGTCATCCAAGACTGACAACCCCACCTCCACGTCACCATTAATCTACAGAGCACAGAGTACTTCGCAGGTCATGACTAAAACTGGTTTCAACCCTTGTGCTCTCAAATCTTGCAGTACTCTTTACTGCCACCTTCATCGGCTTAGCTTGAATGTTCAATGTTCCTAACTCTAGGCCTCTAGGCTTGCGCCACGGTACAGTAGATGGCTCGGCCGACCTCGTGCCGAAAAGTTCTCACAACCTCTGGGGGGTTGGGGTCCGAGTCCACGTGCTGCACCGCTTGTAGTTATATCTATATCTTGAATGTATATTATATGTATATGTAGATATGTTGCAGGGTGAGCTTGTGACTCTTATTGTATCACTTCGTGGTCCCAAACTCTATAAGCCTAAGCTGCTTAGAATGGTTTCTCCAGCGGACTCCAGAGTGCCCCGGGCTCCCGGACTATCAGAGGAGCGTGCGCCCACGGACATGACAATCGATACAGAAAAAAGCACCGCTTCGCTCATCTTCGCTCTCCATGCGTCCGGATGATGCCCTTCGAGGATTTCAGGATTAGGGTTCGGGGTCTAGGGAGTCTAGGGTTTAGGGTTTAAGGCTCTGCTGTTGAGGAGTGTTCGCTCGCTGGCACACAATCCAAGCCCATGCTGAAAAGGGTTCAGGGTTCGGGGTCTAAGGTTTTTTGTGCTGCCCAGATGATTTGGTTTGGCAGTGCTGCTTCCCAGCTGATCGACAGAGTCTGGGTTCAAGAATGGTTTTTACTTCATTCGGGTTTACCCTAGGGATCAAAATAGCCCAAAAGCCTTATATCGTATGGTCTTTGGGCACAAAAGCCTTAATATATGAGCCCTTAGATCCCTAAACCCTAAACCCTATAGTGATCCCTTTAGAGGATCCCTTATGGATCCCTTTCAAGGAACCCTATTATATGGGTCCTTAAATCCCCCAGGCTTAGAGTCGGTTTTAGGTTCAGGTCAGAAGTTATCAGGGGAGGCTCCGATCAGAGTTCTGGACTCGAGCTCAAACGGAACGGCAGGACTAAGGATTTGGGAGTTCCTTAAAGGGCTCCTTAAAGGGATCTATAGGGTTCCTTAAAGGGATCTATCGGGTTTTTAGTTTAGGGTCTACTTGGAGGGTCGGGGGGCTTACTAAGTGGGGTTATAAGTACGGTAACTATGGTAATATCTACAGATAACCCTAAGTAAGGTACTTATAACTATAACCCTACTTGCTAAATCCAATGATCCTCTAAGTATTCACCGAAAAGCGATTCTTGCACGGAGTTGGCTTCGGCTTTTCTTTTGAAGTGCAAACCTTTTGCAAGTCCTTGCATCATTGATGAGCGTCTTCTGAGGTCGACCAGATCTTCGTGGGGCAGAGGGCTTGCACTGCGTTGAAGGCGACATGTTGCCCACTGGATTTCAGGCACAAGTTTGCATCCCCACTTGGGTTCGACACCCCGATGTTTTTGCGGAGACTTTGGCCACACTGCAACCCAAGCAAAATTAAGGCCATTTGTGAGCAGGTGCATCATGGAGTGCCTGGACGCTTGAGACCGACGTTGCTGGCTCAGCTTTCTGTGAGAAGCCCAGCTCATCTTTCAACAATGAGATCACCGCTAGTCTTTTGTGAGAGAGCTCTGACCCTGAACCTTTATCCAAAACTCTAAACCCCAACTGCCTACAAGCCCAGCTGAGCCTTGTTTGTCGAGCCTAGTAGTACAGTGCACCTCAACGCCCCATCCTATAGGGCTGTGTGGTGGCATGCGTCTGCCCTCTACCTTCGATTCTAAGCCTCATAGCCACAAGCCTCTTCCATGTAATTCCCGATGACTGTACTTTACATGTCTCGCTAGATGCCTGTTCGCCTCAGGCTCCAACACACAACTAACAAACATGCACACTTCGGGTATCTAGTTGGGGCTACATGGAGTGAAAGGGTGCATGCCTCAAGGTCATCCAGCCTTGACCATGAATTCCCACTCTCACTGGTCGTGTACGTAGCCCCCAACCCAGCCACATCCCGATCATTAAGCCCCGAAATCCGAGGTCCCGCTGAGCCATCGACTCACATCCTACTAACAAACTTTTTTCTGACAGCTCCACCAATTATCGCTAGCCCCCGAGACATGGACACGCGAACATGAAATCCAGAGTGAGGACTCAGATGATCTTCGGGTTCCGCTGATTGGCATGCACTCTTGCAGCTCTGCATCAGCGGTGTATCGTTTAAAAAGTGATGCACGCGCTGTAGCGGCAGCGATTGGCACCGACTTGTGCCATCGAGCGTAAGAATGCCTCGAACCTATTCCATTCACCAGTTAGTGGAGTTTCTGATGGGATTTTAATTGTACGGTTCAGAACAGGCCTCGCCGTAGGTCCAGGGAGGCGGCGGGTTGAGGGGATGGTGCACTTCAAAGTTTGAGTGCGATCTTCCCCTTTTTGGGGGATTCGACTGCACGCCCCCATCAGGACAGAAGAGGAAAAAGTGTCTCCTCCCTCAGCCCTACCGTTCGGAAAGCTGCAGTCCTATACCCTTCTAAACCCTCAACCCTCCAAGCCCCAAAGCAAATCTTACGGCAATCCGAAGCCCAAACCCCTATACAGTATAGCGTAAGGTTGCGAAGGCTTCCAAGGCTTCGGTCCGCTATGGTCTGTGCAAGCTCCGATTACCTGCCATTGGTTTATTCTTGTCCCATGGCTACGGCGGCATGATGTTTAGGGTTTAGGGTTTAGGGATTGGGGCTACAGGCAAACATAGCTGGCTGGAGCTTCGGGAGATTTGTCAGCGCCGTAGCAGCTATGATGACTTCACCCGCAGTCTCCACAAAGGTTTGGGGTGCTCGGAACTCCATATTCTCTGTAAGACTATGGGTCTGCGTGTCAGAAGAACTATGTTTTCTTGCATGACCTTACCGATCATCGCAAAGTGTATCTTGACTTGTAACTTGTTGCTTTTTTGTGGGGTGGAATGTAATTGGAACTGTCTTTTGGTTTTGCAAGTGCTTCCGTGGAAGGTTCTTGGGTGCGTTGTTTCTTGAGGCCTCAACACTATTCTGATCGCTCTTCAAGCGAGTTCAGCCCTAAACCCTCTACCTCCCTTGTATATAATTCCGAAGCAGCACTTGTGTTCGATCTCCTGCAGCTCAAGCTTTGTCATGTAGTTGCTTGCTCCGACCGTGGCTATGGCAGCCATGAAGCGTGGGCGGCGTAGCAGAGCAACATGCCAGGCCCTGGCGTTTGGGCCTTGAGGTTTGAACACTAGGCTGCCACCCGAGCATCCCAAAACCTTTCTCGCGCTGGCCGACTTCTCAAAACCCGGGACGGGGTTCCGGCCCCATACAATTCGGTTCTGCGTTTGGCGACTACGTAAGAAAGTTGGTTCCAACCCAAAACGAGAGAGCCCAGTGAGCCTCGTGGGCCACGGGTTCCTTTCGTCTTCCGGGGATTCGCTGTGCATGAACTATGAATTGCCTGGACCTTATAAAACCATCCTTTTTAGGGTTTTATATGATGATTTCCCTGATGATTTCCTTATATAGAGGTCCTGGTGAAAAAGGTAGGTTATTTGGGGCTCATCAATCCGAATGCGGCCGAGTGAGCGTTTGACACAGTTTGTTGCAGGTCGATACGTCGGAGCCGCTGAAGCAGGCATGGCTTTTCGAGTAAAGGGTGAGGCTCAGGGTCAGGGGCAGGGATAGCTTTCAGCGCCCATTCATTCTCCTTTCACCCAGTGACATTCATTGAAGGCTTGAAACCTTGCGACCAACTCTACTCTCATTACCTAGAGGATTTCGAGAGGTTTGATACCTTCACAAAGGGATTTCTTGGAGACCCCAAAGAGACCCAGAGATTCACCCCAAGAGATTCCGGAGAATGCCACGGATAATCCTATGATCCCTAAGACAGGCCCATGAAGCACCAAGTGGCCTGACGCATGAGGCTTCAGTGTCTGAACCTGAGCAAGAGGAGGCCGTGCGGAGGGCGCGGGCGCCCCGAACGCTTAACCTAACTTATTCTTGAGCTTAGGGTTTTATAGAAGGGATTGTGTCAGGTTCTACTTGGAAGATTCGCTGACTACAGGGAATTCGCAAGCAAGTGGGGGCGGAAATTTTGTGCAGTACCGTAATTTCAAGAAAAAGCACCTGTCACCCCGCTCCCCAGATCAGGTGCATACAACCGTCCCTTTAGCTCGTGACCGTACTTATTATTATCAGAGGATTTCTGAGTAGGATTGCAGAATCCTGCGTTGACTATAGGTGTGATTTTTTCGGGGGGGGGGGGGGGGGGGGGGGGGGGGGGGGTCCGGTTCCGCTTTTGCACTGATCTTTGGCCTTCAGGTCAGTTGTTCTGAGTTCGTTGATCACCAAAGTCTCTTGCTAGTCACGCACCGAGTGTTCCTGTCTTTGTGTTGGTATTCCTGCATGTCGAAGACATGTTAATGTAATGGAGATTCCGGATTGACCTTCACCCTGCCGCAAATGAGGGTTGCATATAGTTATGGGTCCAACTCTTCAGAAAAGAACTCTTAGAAATGGTGTACGTACATGAATCGTCATCTGAAAGACTTAAAGATGGGTTAGATAATGATAGCAGTATAGTTTCCCCCACAAAAAGAGGTAGTAACATGAACCCTGGTCTTAGCATCAAGTAGGGTCCCTAACAGAGAAATGTTGGCTGTTTGAGTCAAGCCCCCGCTCTCCTGCGCCCTCCCTGCAGCCCGAACCCCTCCGACCAACCGCACATTAACTCATTCAGAATCTAGGTTTCATCGCTGGAATCTAGCAAGTGAACTATTTCACATTTGTTGGATATCTTGATTGGTTCCGTGTTGACAAGTGTGATTCCGTTTGTTCCTGATCATTGAAGCATGGAGAAAAAGCCCCAAGCTAAGACCCAACGGCCCTAGCCCGCACTCTGTAATGGCTCCCGGGTCTGCGACTGGTTTTCTGTGGCATTCTGCGCGCATCCTTACCACAGGGAACCCTGACAGGCCCCGATATTCTCATCTCCAGTGGATTTCGCAGGGTTTGGGGTCCCAGACTGAACCCTATAAACCTTATATAGACCCTAAAGCCTAAACCATAAAAACCCTAAAACCCAAAACCACCAAAACCCTATAAAACCCTAAAGCCCTAGAGACCCTAAACCGTGAACTTTGAACCCTAAGCCCCTAAAACCCTAAAGCCCTATAGACCCCTAAACCTCAGACTGAGGGTTTCGGAAGGTGCCTCTGCCGCGGCCGCCGAGCCGAAGCTCGCTGATATTGCGAGGCTGTAAGATTGATTTCTTGGTTCAGTTCTCAGGATTCCTTATATCATATGTAAAGAGGGCTTAATAATTGCCAGGTAGTATACCTTAGGGTTCCTGATTATGAATTTATAGTGTATTTCGGTATAATATGACCCAATACCCTATTCTAAGTAGGTGTTGAAGCCCACCTATTAGTGCTTTCGCAGGGCTTGTCGAGGCAAACTCTGCGTGAACGAGAGCACTGCTCAAATCCGGCGCAAAGATGTGTGACGCAGGCACCCGGTTGGGCTTGCTCCTTGGTGCCCCCACCGCGGGTGCTTTGGGTCTGGCGACTGGTGCTGCTGCGACTTGACAAAAAGAGCACCACACATAGGCATAGCCCTTAACCCCGTGTTCAAAATGTATGTGGGCTGTGTGTTTAGCACTTGGCAGTCTCATGAATGGCAAGAGACAGGACACACCACGTTACCATTAGCGGCCATATGCGAAATGCCTGAAATCTCCTGGCCTGGATACTATAGGGGCTTAATTTATTACCACTACTGTTTTGGGGTTCCGTATTATAATAAGAGTATAATGGGCCGCAAAACCGCCAAAACCCGACTCATTATAAAGGCCGTTGCATTACTGCCTGTGTCTTGTCAACTTATATATTGTCGTACCGACCGCACACTGCGCCTGTAAAGCCTTGAGGTCAAAATCTTACAAACTTTATTTGCCCTTGTGAGAACTTACAATCCCTGATGAAACCCCATAACCCCCGGAACCCCTACATAAACCCGCCCTTGTATAAAATCTACCCTAGCACCCCAAAACCCTGCCATGCGGGCTCGTCCCAGCGGAGTAGGAGGCAAAAAAAACGCAAACCCCGTAACCCTCAAACCCCAAAACCCTAAATCCTAAACCGGCTTACGGGTTGTTAACGAAGATCGTCGAACCTACTTCTGCAGACCTTGCCAGGCTTGTCCGAGAGTGAGTGTCAAAAATCCTAAACCCCCTCAACCCTAAAGCCCCCAAACCCCTAAACCCCTGTGTAACGTCCCTTTTTCCAGGGCGGCGCGGCCTTCGGCACCGTCCTTGCGCCACTGACCTTTGGCCTCGGAGCCCCTGCAGCCCGGCACGGAAGGGGGGGTTCAGGGTTTAGGTTTTAGGTATTCGGAGGGTCAGTCCTGGCAGCCAGCAAGCCCAGTGTCAAAAAGGTATTCAGAAGTGGAAAGTGTGGTGATAAATATCTGCACATGTCCCCTGGGCATGGCTGCCGGCATACACTCAAAGTCCGTGCTTAAAAAGGTTGTAGGGAGTTAGGGCAGCAGCAACAAGGGGATTTAGGGGTTTTCGAGTTGCAATAGGCCTGTTAGGGGTTTAGGAGTTTAGTGGATTTAGGGGGTGTACAGGATTTAGTTCAGGGGTTTTAGTGGTCAGGGGTTTAGGGGTTTAGGGATTTAGGCGTTCAGGGGTATGGTTTAGGATGGAGCTTGAGGTTTAAAGTCTAGGGGTTGCCGATCTTTGGGTAGTCAGTAGTACTCGTCACCAGCTTTCTCCCGTGAGGGGTTGCAGCTAGCATCCTTGGAGACCAGGTGCAAAAAAAGTTTAGGGTTATGTAGGGCTTTAGAATGTTGATTGCGGCTCTCAAAAATGGCTTTACCCTGAGCAAAAGCTCAGAAGTTTTCGGGCAGATGTAGGGTTCGACTGCGCGCGTGGAAGAACCGGCGCAGAAATCGGCTGATGCCACACAGATGCCAGTTTCTCTGGCATCGTTACTTGATGAGCGCTTGATTGTCCTGTTTCAGGAGCCAAAACAGCACCCAAGCGTAACGCTTTGTATCCCTTTAGCCTGTAACTTACGGTACCTCAAAGCCTCTTTAGTTTAGCCAGCAGGCCCACGGGAATCCCATTATTACTAAGCCCTGAAAAATTGCTTGCTTCAAAATCTCTTTCCCAAAGGGTCCAAAGTAACCACAAAATAGCATGTAGGGTTTCTTTCTCCGGAAATACTTGTATGATTTGGGGAAGTGGTCCCCATAGCAATACCTAGGACCCTTTGGGTTTAGCCGGTCGGCCCACGGGAAAGAAACAAGTGAAGCTCATGCGCCTCCAGATCTCCCCGGCTACTGGTTGCGCTGGGGCCAAACCTAAAGCCCAGTTAGGCATGCCCTCCTAGTCCCTACACGCTTATTATAGTACATTGCAGTAGAGTTTAAAGAGTATTTTCAGATTATGAGAACCCCTTTTCCGATTGTAGAAACCGCGTCATAGCATTCGATTCATATTGAATCCAGTGAGGTGTGCTCTGCTTTCTCGGCTTTTGTCGGGCTGATCTTCGGTTTCTTCTTGGGTGCCATGGGCGACGGCCTGAGCTGCAGGGTTTCGACAAGTGATGAACATGAGCGTGTTCATAGGCTTCAAGCTCAAAGTGTTGAAGTGAACTGCGGCGCAGTGGGCTTTCTTTCAAGAGCTTGGTTATGGGAACTGTGCTTGTGTTGATGCGAAGGGTAGGGCGACGAAGAACCCAGTGTTACTTCGTCTCAAGCGAATTTCGTAGACCCTTCACAGTCGCGGTCATTGCAAGGCATCTCTGACCACATGAAGGCCTCTGAGAGCACGCCTGGCCTTACCATCCACTACCCGGCGTAGAATGTCATAGCAGCTATAACCGGGACCCATGCCTTGATATGGAATACAAATCGACATGACATAGGAAAACTTGTCCGATGTAGTTTATTGAGTTTAGTATAAGCCTGTCGACCCGTACCATAGAATTGATCGTCCACTGAAGCTACTGCATGATATCCTAACAAGTCTTGATCTTGTAATAGCTAGTTAGATATTGCTTCTCTAAGAACAGCCCATATAGGGCTCCTGTTACGTACCTATTTAGGTAACTCGGGCCCTAAAGGGTAGTATAACATACAGTATAGCCTAAACTAGCAACAAAGTTTGATAATTAGTTTACATTCAACCCCAAAGCCTAGCAAGTTGTAGAACAAAGAGTACAGCTTTAAAAACGAAATCTGACAACCTAGTAGTCGAGTAGGGAACCTTTCACCTTTTTCGGGTAGTATAGTCCCTATATAATCCCTATATAACCAAAACGGTTATATAACCTGTAGTTCCCCATGATACCGGACAAGTATGAAACGAAATCTGATAAGTTTTCGAGGCGGCGCTGCCTTTGGCGGCTTCTTGGGTGCCTGTGCTTTCTTCCTAGGCTTCCGAGGACGTCCGTGATGGGGCTTGAGGGGTACTTAGAGGATCAGGGTAGGGTTTAGGGCTTAGGGTTTGGGCTAAATAGACTGTAGGGCTGTTTGGGGTTTTGGTTCAGGGTTCATTATAGGAACAGAGATGTGCAGACGCAGCCAGCGCAGCTCCAACGTGCGACAAGCTGAGAGCGTTCTTACTATTCGAAGGTGAAACTAGAATCGTGAGATTCGGAGCATGCCGTAAATAGATCCTTGAGATTCTGCTCCCTCCGGGCCCATGTAGGCCTGAGACCTTCCTCGCCTGAGCCACGCGAGCCCGTCAGTTTGCAGGAGCTTCCTACGTGGACCCCACATCCTCACACTTTGTACAGGCAGGACTCGGGTTTCGTCTTGTTGAAGATTTGAGCCTTATGCCCAGGTTTCCTTTAGAGAGCAGAGGGAGGCTTCGAGCATAGGGTTTACCTGGACCCTAAGGAACCTACCTTTTTAGGGTTACTTATTATGGCTTCTATATAAAATTCCTTAAAAAGGTAGGCCCTTTTTTCTCGGCTGCAGGTAGGGTTTGGTTACGGGCACATTTCTGAGGATGCCAACGGCCCCAGAATCGTTCTTGTCGTGGTTTGACTTCCGGAGTCGAGGCAAACGCTGTTTACATGGACAAGCTGGACAGGTTGTAGTTCTTGTGTAATTTTACTGTTCTGCGTCTCAGAAACAACCTTTTACGCCTTACAAATCCTTTCAGATTGTACAATCTCCCCAACCGCCAGTATTCGACGTGATGTTTCTCTTCGTTTCTGGAATAAACTCATTCTTAGGCTTCTACACTGACCAGAACTCTGATGCTGATTGCTTTGTGGCTCGTACAGTTAGTGCTCAGGATGGAGATAGCTTTCTACATATTGTGAAGACAGGTATCCCAAACCAAATTTGGACCCTAGAAAGCAGGTCCTTCCCCTCCTAGATGCTTGAAGGTAGCTGTGGCCATGCTCCTCATGGGCATCACAGGCTGGTTTTGCACAACCCAGGGACTGCGGAATGTAACCGCCACTCAGGACATGTAGATGGTCTAAATTCTTTCGTCGTCAGTGGGCCTTCGTCGTCGGCGCAGTGCATACCTGAAGAGCATTGATGCTGAACCCCAAGGCTGGAATTGTAAAAGGCCTTATGCGAAAGTAGTCCTTGCAGCCTCACAAGAGCCTAGTAGAAAGCCTTGCCTGCAAATGTAGAGGCGGAGGTGGTTAGAGTGGGGTCTCCGGACTTTCGCACACTAAGGAGTCCTAGGATTCTAGGGACCGGGAGCTTTTCGGAAGTCTCCTTCTCATTCTCCAAGCCCGTGAACTGATGTAGCTCAACTAGGATGCCCAGTAGTATCCTTATTCCCTGCTTTGTAGTCCTAGGTTCCTTATAAAGTTACCCAATACCTAAAGGGAACCCTTTTTTTCCTAGGTTGCTGGGCATCCTAGTCAACACTCGCCGAACAATTTACTCACTTCCAGGGCCCTTCACGGCCGCCGCGGGCGCATTTCTCGGGATGCTCAGTGGCGCATTCCTGGGCTTTCTAGGAGGCCTCCGTGGAATTTGGCTTCAACGCAAATTTAAAGGGGGTCGGTCCATTCTAGCGCTCTCTTTTCGGTGTAGGGCCGACGGTCGATAGCTGTTAAAGCTCCGAAGCCCTGAAACTTTTGAATCCTCGATCCTAAACTCAAGAGCCTATTGAGGGTTCAGGAGTTTGGCTTCGGGGTTTGTGGTGTAAGGGAACACTGGGAGGATGACGATACGCACCCTGCATAGGGTATGGCTAAGTCTTCTTACTGCGTCCCCCGATCCTCCGATTGGCTCCAGGGTTTGTAGATATCTTTATCGCGCTCTTGCCTGGGGTTCGGAGTGTATAGATAGATCATTGCATCAATTGGCAAATTCAGCCCTTATAAATCTATATATATATATATATGTATATATGTATATATATATATATATATATATATATATACAAGTATATATATATATATATATGTATATGTATATAAGTATATATATATATACACTTATATGTAGGGTCGGAACAGTGCAAATACAGATTAAGGCCCAAACCTATTCAAGTTTTCACACTCCCAGAGTGACGTCGGACTATGTTATGTCGCTGGGGTTCAGATATGACCGACCATTCATCTAATGATATGGGTTATGTACTTAGAGGATCGGGGACTTAGTAAGTAGTGTTATAAGTACCCTAGTAAGGTTATAAGTAGATATAACTATAGTTACCTTAATTATTGCCCTACTTACTAAGTCCCCTGATCCTCAAGTAAGGATTTGGGCTTTAAGACGCCGGCGCCTGTGCAGGAGCCTAGGGTGGTCCCCGAGACTGGTGGGACCCCATCTGTCAGCTGAATACAGATCATGGCCCTAAACGTCTGTAGCAGCACATCAACATCTCCCATGAGCCGTAGGTGGAAAGTCATCCCCAAACCCTAAACCGCGAGTTGCGTTGGCATTAATGTCATTAATGTTCACCCTAAAATCCCCTAAGCCCCTAAACTCTATAGTACCCTTCTAGATCCCTTATAGGAGCCCTTATAGTTCCTTTAGCCCTCCTGCCCCACCAAGCTCGCTTCAACTCGAACCATCCTCCCCTCTTCTTCCCCAAGAGCAACACGAGATACGGGTGGATACAAATCCTGCATGACCTTCATGACCCGAGACTATGGGAATTATGGTATATTCCGTATCATGGCGGATGTATACTATCAGCCGTAGAACAATGAGACCAGGAGCCCTAGCCGTAGCTTACGGATTTGTTACTTAATTTCGAATCTCTAAACCCTTATATGGTGGCAGCCGCAAAGTTGGAAGATGCGCACCCAAAATTTCAGCACCCCACAATTGGAATAAAACACATCTTCCAACTTTGGATTCTTCCAAGTTTGCAACCTTCGAACTTTTGATTACCGCATGAACCGCTCCAAATGCCGGGACCCAAAGTTGGAAGATGGGACCAAGTCAGACCCAATATTTAATTGCAGCTTCTCCCGTCTCTCTCTCTCTCTCTCTCTCTCTCTCTCTCTCTCTCTCTCTCTCTCTCTCTCTCTCTTTCTCTCTACAATACTGCAGTAATTGCAGTTTTTCTCCCTCTGCAATACTTGAGCGGCCATGGTATTTGCAGCTTTTCTCTTTCTGCAATATTGGAGCGGTAGTAGTAATTGTGCAACACTGGAGTGGTCCTAGGAGTTGCAGTTTTCTCTCTCTGCAATATTGGAGTGGTCGTAGTACTTACAGTTTTTCTCTCTGTGCAATACTGGAGCGGTCGTCGTATTTGCAGCTTTTCTCTCTCTGCAATACTGGAGTGGTCGTAATACTTGCAGTTTCTTTTCTCTCTCTCTCTCTCTGCAATACTGGAGCTGTCGTAGTATTTGCAGCTTTTCTCGCTCTGCGATACTGGAGCAGTCGTAGTACTTGCAGTTTCTCTCTCGCTGCAATATTGGAGTGGTCGTAGAAATTGCCCTTCCCTCTCTCAGCACTACTGGAGCCGTCGTAGTAATTGCGGTTTCTCTCTCTGCATTACTGGAGCTGCTTCCCACAAACCGAAAGTTGGAAGATACCGTTACCACATCAACCGGTCCAAACACCGGGACCTAAAGTTGGAAGATGGGACCAAGTCAAACCTAAAGTTGGAAGATGCCGTTGCCGCATCAACCGTTCCAATTGCCGCCTTCCAACTTTCCGGCGGCTACTGTAATCTTAAACCCTATAACTCCTGTAAACCCTCATCCCTGAGACAGCAACCCGGTACGTAGGCGGGAGGCAAAAATCCCTGAGTCAGGTCTCCTCCTGGCCCCTTTTACTTTTGGCATCTCGATCCCTGCGGCCGTGGCGATTTGTGCGGTGCTTGGCGCAGCCATCGATGCCGCCACAGGCACCGATATTTGCAGACTCATTTGATACCTGGTTCTTTGCGAGTTCTTTTTCGGGGTAGTGGGGTGGACATCTGCTTTAAAACTGAGCAGCCATTCTTGTTTCGAAGGGGAAGTAGAGTTGTTCCCAGGAAATTCCAGGGTTTCACGTGGGAGTGCCAACCGTACAACAAATCAACACGCACAACATAGAATGACTGTGGTTTCAGAGGTTTCCTCTCATGTACCCAAACAAGTCCTGTCGGGTTGTTAGTATTGGGGAGCTTTATTCAGAGGTATTCCAGTAGGAACCGGAGAGTTTGAACATCACTGTCCCCAGCCACAGGCCCAGACACGAACCAAGTAAAGAAGGAAGGCCCGCATTCTACACGATGGCTCCTCTGGGCCGCTACTCACCATGGGTTGACATGCCTTTATCGTGGAGATGCTGGTTGCTCAACCTGCTCCCCTGAACACACATCATGACCATGAGAAGCTTGATGCTACTCCGACCCCTGAGCAAAGATTCCTTCTTTATGATTCCATGCAAGAGGCATTTGGTGCTGGATGGGGATCCTTAGCGTGAGAGTGTGATCCACATTCAAACCCGGGTTGCCAAACCCTGCAGCCCAGCTTTGAAGTCAAAGCATCTTGCGAGTGCTTATGTGGGCAGTTCTCAAAATTGGGGTCCCTTTTTGGGTACCCTAATTATATTTAAAAGAAGGACACAAAAAGGGACCATAATTTTGACAGCCACCCATGTATTAGTAGTTGTTGCCTCATGGTCCCACGGCCTATGGCGAACTGCCGCAATGCAACGGGACCAAAGGTAAACCAAAATCTTTCACCCTAAAGGCCGTAACCCTCAACCACACCTAAGCCGCCTACGAGACGTGCAGTGACAGGTGCTTTGCTGGCGGCATGTGCAAGTGGACTTGTCGTGAGGCTGGTCTGACAAAGAGTCGTGTGCTACCGCTTTGCGCAGCCCTTGTGGCAGGAGTTGGTGGGGTGATTTGATTTGAGGTTTCCCCGTTGGTTGTGAGTGTTATTCCAGCTACCGCACTTTGGCGCTTAAGCTTCCAGATCGTGTAATCTTCACGATTTCCCGGCTTATGTAAGGCCCAATGGCACGTGAAGGCCGCATCTGAAGCCTTTGCCCTTTGGGGGAGCTGCTGACGTCTCGCTCTCATGAACTTGGGGGGCATATAGTAGAAGGCAGGTGGTTGGAACAATCGTAGTATCTTCATGCCCCTAGGGTAAAGTATAGGGAATGCTAGCACTAATCATCCTAAATCCATGTTCCAACTTCTGGGGTTCACCATAAGGGTTCCAAAATGGGGTGCCCTAGTTGCGGAAGTTGCGAAATCGACTCTTACCGGCCGGAGCCAATCTTGTTCGACATCACTCGAGGGATCGGTTGGACTAGTATAACCCAGCCTTACAATCGATTTACCAAGCAGCTCAATCCTCCGAGCCATATCATTTGGTTTCTCCACCTTCGGTATGTCGAATGCGCTCGTGGTGTGCCCTGCCTGGCACCGCAGGTATCATGGATGGCTGCTGGCAGGCAGCACCCAGTCACATCAGTTCTGCTTTTTGACTTCAGGCTACCAGTTTGGGCACTGCTCACATGCAAAGTTCATTGCACTCCGAGCCCCTGGACTTGCCAGTGCTGTTCGAAACCTTGGCCATAGCCAGGTAGAGAACGTTTGGAAGGCCGCGGCAATAAAGATCGCAAACTCAAAGACCAGGCAGAAAAGCGCTTGAAAGCTCAACCATACTCAACCCCTGAAGCTATGCACTCCTACTTGGAGGATCATGGGACTTAGTAAGTAGGGTTATAACTACCTTAATTAGGGTTAAAAGTAGACATAATTACAGCTACCTTACTTATAACCCTACTTAGTAAGTCCCCCGATCCTTCAAGTAAGCTCGGTCTGTTGCCAATAGTGTTAAGCCGGGTGTTTTAGCAAAGCCAGCCATCCAAGAATGGTGCCCCTCCAAACGGGCTTTAGGTTTGTGGGGAATGAGAATTTCAGAGAACATAGAACTTCGATGTTCCGCGAATTCCCACAGCCAAGTCCTCCGGCAGGCTTTCGTCGCGTGGTTTCTGCAGCAACAGAGGCTGTCAACAGGCAGGAGAAGCACAGTCCTGCTTGAGCTGGCTAGCTGAAGCTTCAATCGCAATCTCTAGTGCACCGACGTAGCTGCATCTTCAACCTGGTGGCGGGAGTGAAGCCCGCAGCTAGAAGAGGGGTCGTGCGTGAACTAAGTATATACAGGAAAGGAAAGCAAGTAATTAATATCAAAGCCTGAATACTTGCAAATACTATTCCTTACTAAGGTTCCTTATACGTAGTTGTATACTACAATATTGTATACCCCAAAAGCCCTAGTCAAATTCTCAGGGGCCCTGTATTAATTAAGAGCAGCACATTGTGCTCTGAGGGTAAGCCTTGGATCGTCGGGCTCTGAAACACAATGCAGACGTAGCAAGAAAGCAAGCCTGCGTTGCTAGCAGCCGCAGCATACAAATAGGCTTGTTCGCATCAATCGAAACTTGGAAGCCCAAAATCCTGTCGGGTTTAAAGTTTGCAGCTGGCAGACGAAATTGCATTGTGAACCGAAGCCCTCAGTCGACTCAAGTTGCATCAAGCTTTTGGCAAATCCTAAGCACCGACAGTCGAGACGCCCTAAGCCCCAAACCCCAAAAATCAACCTACGCGCCTTCATCTGCGAGCCAGATTCCGATGGCGACTTGCGACATTCGTCGCCCCGGAAGCAGCCGAAAAGCCGGGCTCCTGGGCTACAGTGCCGGAGGCGTGACAGCAGTTGTGGGTTCCAGGAGCTTTTTTGGCTTTAGGGGTGTATAGTGTTGAGGGTTTAGGGGTGTAGGGCTTAGGTTTTAGGGTAGTTGGGGTTTGGGGACTTATTGGTTTAGTGTAGGGCTCGTTGAGTTTATGATGCATAGTGTCTTGGGTTCAGCGGGCTTCTGGCAATGAGTGTTGTTGGGGTGCGCAGAGGTGGGTCGGCTTTCTGGTGTTCGGGTGTTTTAGGTGTCTTACAGCCCAGCACATAAACAGATAGTTGTGCAGAATGCCTCATGACAGGATTTCAGGCCATGTTTTTGTTGAAAGTCTACAGTTAGGTGTTCAGGGCGTCTTTCGAGGATCAGTGGGTGTAGAACCTGCTAGTTTAAAAGGGGTGCGAGGCTTAAGGTTTCGGGTTCAAGTTTTACGACACCGGGTTCAGGTTCATTAGATGCCTTTTGTGCATGGTTAAGGCATTAGGCCTTAGCACGAGAGGTCTTGAGGTGCGGCGCGTTTGCTTCAAACGGCTTCTTTCATTCTGCACGATGACAGTCACCACTTAAGCATGCCCTTCTGTTCCTCGGAGTGCTGCGCCCTTGAGTCATTTTCAACTCCGAACAATGTCTTAGGCAGACCGCAAATGCCCTTACTTTAAGCGGCCCTTCCATTGAGAAATCCTGATAGACAGACAAGACCGCAAGAGAGTACTTTCAGGAATTCAGCGGAGGCGCGCAGGAACACGTCCCCTAAACCGAATTCTATCCTTGGACCTCGACTTCCAGGCTCCAGACCACAAGCCCTACAGGAGGAACGTCATCAGATTCGCAGTTCTTTTCTTTGAGCTTTGGATGGCATCCTGAGTTTAGGGTTTAGGGTTTAGGGCACCCTGAGCCGGCATGGCCCGAGTATTTTAACTGGAGCGGGTAGCGGGTTTGTTCAACCTCAAAAAGCTGTTTGCCGCATCTCATCTCCTCCTTGGTTCTTTAGCGTTTGAAGGTGCCTGAGGTTTCTAAATCCACTGGAAAATGCAGCTTTAAACCCTACTGCAACCGGGTAGGTAAACCCTAGACCCTCTACGCCCCAAGCCCTAAGCCCTACTAGCCGACCGCAGACGGACGCTGGCTGCGTGGAGCCCCCTCGGCGCAACCTGCGCCGCCGAAGGGCGGCGCGTGCGTAGAGGCGGCGCTACTTCGCACGGACCCCAGAGAGCCCAACATCCCTCAAACAAGGAGTATAATACAGGGGCCTTAATACTTACCAATACTATAGTAGAATAAGCTTCCGTTAATGAAAAGGGTCTCTTTGGGCTACTGTAAGGGCTACAAACAGGATATAAAAGAGGGACCTCATACATAAAATTGCCAATACTGTTTTAGGGGGATTCCTTATTCTCAATGTAGTATAGTGGGACCCCAGAGGCTCTTGTATTACTTCGAACCATATGCAGACGTTTTTCGAGATTGAGGAGTATGCCTGACTTAAAATTGAGCAAAGGAACTACTGTAAGGACTGTGGCGCTTACTTGCATGCTATACTAGTAAGTACCATGGGAATTATAGTAAGTAAGGTTATGAGGACCTTGTTTTGTCGGGGTGATAAGTAACTACCAGTATACTTTCCTTTAAAATCAACCTACTTATCCTCTAAGTAAGCCGTCAGCCCCAAAGTCCGAAAGCGCCAAAGCCCCAAGGCGCCGCTGAAAAGTGACAGATGGAAGAGCCCGGGGGCGAAGTTGAGGGTCTGGGGGTATTGTTTTTGTTCGCTATTATCTACGCATATTAGATCGAACCTGATCTATTTACTTAGCTAGTTTTTCTTTGTTTGTCTACATAGCTTAACAGCTTTCTGACGGTTCAACCGTTCATGTTTTTCAGCTTGCAAGCTCCTGAACGAGGTATAGTCGTTAACTTGCACGGGGTCGGTATCACATTTTCTGGTTTACTACTGCTTGGTAAACAGGTATTGCTGCGGGTTAAGGCTCTGGTGCTGTTGGGGTCGGACGAAGTTGTATAGTAATGTTCCTTAGTAGAGGGTTCCGTAGTTTGATCATACAAGACCCTATCATTAAGGCCCCCACAGTTGGTCTTAATAGTTTTAGTGGGGAGGCTTGGTGTTTCCTTAAGACATCCCCGTGTCTTTGCACTTTCCTGGGTTGGAATCCAAGATTTAGGGGAGTCATACTTCTGTCTTGATCCTCATGGAAATGCTGTTTCGGACAGGGGTCTGGCACGAGTTAAAATATTTATGCCATTTATGCCCCACCCAACCGCAAGAAGCCCTGAGTCTTTGGTCCAACTCTGAACCGACAGTCCCGAAGGGTCATCTCCATAAGTTCGCCTTCGGCTTTCCATCTCGCAAACACAGCACATTAGTACTTTAGTATTCGGGGCGACGAATGGCTCACGCCAATTACTTGGCGGGATGTTCTGGCCGACCAACAACAAGCTGGTATAACCCACGTGATTTACTACAGATGTTGCCAGCATACTCCAAGGACCGTAAGACATCGCAGTTTTGCTTTCCAGATCTTTCCCTGGGGATCAAAATAGCCCAAAAGTCTTATGTAGTATGGTCTTTGGGCCCACCTTAATATAGGAGTCCTTAGATCCCTAGGGTTTGGTGAGCGTCGCTGTCTCCTAGCCGAATGATTTCTCAGAATTCACCTCTTCAAGCTGGCGATTCCAGCATGCATGTTCACGCTGACTGCCAGCTTGCTGCCGTGCGTTAAAAGCCATTGCAGCTCTTTGGGACCTTGATGAATACACATACTTTCAGACCCTGCATGAACGGTTGTATGAAGACTTAGTGCAAGGTGTTGGAGCCCTACGGATTAGTCTATAAGTATCTCTTCGGATCTTGTTGGGATTAGGGTTGAGGGTGTAGGTTTGGAGGCGCTGTGATCGTAGTAAATTGCAGCTTCTGCGTGCATGTGCCACGCACCGTCAGACCGACAACAACGATGCGTCACGTGCCGAAGTTGGAACGGCGCAACAAGTAGCCATTGGATCCACGGTAGATGGGGGGCTTGACAGGGTGCAGGATTCAGGGCAGCAGCTTTAACGTATGAACTTGTTTTTCGACCTTGTTCAACCCATGATCTGTCCTGGCTTCGCCGAATTACAGCGAGCAGACCACACCTGTGCAAGCATGAAGCCAGCTGGATGTATAAGTTGTTCGATCAATCTCCACATCCTATAGATGTGCAGTCCGAAGCAGCACCCCCTTAGGGATGACAGCTATCAGACGAAGAAAGGACCCTTGAACGAACAAAGGGCCCACACAAAGCCCTCGAGCTTGCACCACAGAACCCTGAACCTTTGACCCCGACCGTCAGCCCCAAAACCAACCCAGAAGCTCTAAAACCCCTAACCCTAAAACCCACCGTCGAACCCTAAAACTCACCAAAAAGAGCCCTGAACCCTACCTAAGCTCTCAACCCTATAAGCCCTAACCCTAAGGCCCCAAACCCTAAACTCTAAGCAACAAAAACACCTAAAATCCCAAAGCCATGAAGCGCCTTTTGCCAGCGGCCGCTTGGATTGCCGCCGCGTTGGATACCTTGTCTCCGGACTTTTGCCTCAAGTTGAGATTGCTTTCACAGGGTTTATAAGGTTTTATAGTGCTTTTTGTTTATTTAGTATTTATATAGCTAGATAATATCAATTATCTAGCTTTCCTACGGTTTCAAATGATGCAAATAGACTCTTACATCACCCCTGCCGTCATAAAGATTCTAGCTGAGGGTTTGGTTGATGTTCAGGGTTTAAGCATCTATGGCATATGATGTTTACAGGATTTGTGTTGTCTCTGTCCTGGGAAGACATAACCTTAGGCGTATCTTCTCTGGGATGTCTGTTGTATGAGTCGTATGTATGCTCTATATGCGGAGGATTTGGAAAACTGGGCATGGTCGTGCTTCAGGGCCGAGCCACCGAGACATGACTTGAACACGCATGCCACCATCGGTCAAAGCAGGTCTTGTTCACAACTCCATGGCAGGTTGCGGTTGCGGATTCCTGTGCATTTTTGGAAGCACGCTTTCTGAACTCTTATCGTCACGAAGTCGCAGATGTCTTGGTCAATCTTGGCATGTACACCTGCAGAGCGGCAGAGGGCCCCTTCAGCCACTTACATCTAGTTTCTTTTTACAAACAAGCTTGCCTTGGTTGTCTTACTCACTGACTTCTTATGGCCGTTCCACTCATCAGTACGATTTCAGGTTTCGTTGTAAAAATTCTTGACAATCTCATATCCAAATCCAGAGCGATCCTTCTGAGGATCCCGGAGAATTGGAGTACGAACATGTCGTCGCAAGCAGCGCAGGCATCGGTGGGGAGTGGCGTGCTCCGCACGAAGGTTGTTCGCGAGTGTGATGCGGTGCTCAGGATTCAGGTTTGGGCTTAGGGCCGGCTTGCAATTCAAGGTTGGACTTCGGAGAAGGCCCAACGAAACTGCCCTAAGACATACTTGGCTGTTGACGCAACATTTGCCAGTAGGGTTAGGTGTTATACAGGGTAGTATACAGTAGAGGTTTACAGACTTCGAGACTCTGCGCCGGTATTTGCTCGGAAACCCATGCACCCCCGAACGTAGCTTGCGGAGCCTCAGAGGAACTGCCGAGCCCCACCGAACCTGCAGTAAGACATAAACACGCACACTTAAAGGTGCTTCTCTCCGACAGAAGTATTTACAAGTACAATAGGAAGTTCATTATTTTCCGGGAACCAAAACTTGAATCATACGAGATCCGAACTTGATCGAGCAAATGTCACGTCGATGATGACAGCGATGACAACGACGAGGAAAAGGTGATGATACTGCTGCAGGTGCTGCTGGGGACGATGATGTTGATTCTGAGGATGATGGGGATAATGCTGGTTCGCAAGATGATGCAGGACAGACTCAGCGTCTTGGGCATGACGACGATGATGATCATGATAATTTTGCTGAGCTGATAAGGCCCGCACCGAGCGTGATAGCCGTGCCACTGCTGTAGCCGTGGACCCCTGCACAGATCCGCGCAGGCATGATCTATGCGCTGGGCGGATCTCAGTCCTCGCTAATACGCGCCTGGGTCAATCGCGGGCAGGTATAGAAGACGGTGAGACCTGAAACCCTGACCCCACAACCCTGCTTCGCAAATAAATCAAATCATGAACCCTAAAACACCATGCCAGGCTTGTCCCAGTTGTGAGTCCTGGAAAGCCCACAACCCGGAACTCTCTGAAAACCGCTTGCCGATCCAAGGAATCGATCCTTACTCAGAGTATGCTATCGCGGAGACCGTGGCAGCATTGAGTTTGCGGCTTAGGGTTATATATCCTTTCGAGGGTTAGCATGTAGACTACAGCGGCTTTGGGCGGCCCGTATAGCGGCCCGCGCAAACTCGGGGCACCTAAGGGCACAAAAAGTCTTCGCTGGCATGGATGATGCGCAACCGACACGGAAGGTCAGAAGTTCCGCAAAGAGCCAATCTGGCATGCCAACGGCTCCAATACGGCTCCAATCTCCACGGCTGCGAGCGTCGCAACATCAGCTGCCACGCTACCGGAGACGGCGGGCGACTCACTGGTGGGAAGTGGTTGTCGCTCCATAATTTGCGAAGAAACACTTCCACGCCATGGACGGCAGGCTGCCGATGCTCGAGAAGGCAATGCACAGAGTCGTCAGACATGCAAGTGTGGATTTTGCAAATAAGAGCTGCAGCGTGCTCGCTGGAGCTGCGTGTCAATGGTTCATGAGCTAACTGGATGACTGGAAGGGGGAAAAGCAGGAGGCTGGAACATCGGTCCGTAGCATTGAGCCGCCGAAGCCGTCACCGACAGCTTGGAGCATGTCTCTGCGAGGCATCCCGTGGGGTCGTAGCACCAGATGGAACACATGAGCTGCCCAGCGTCGTTGCAAGCCGGAGCGCAAAATGAGGCGCCAGAGCATTCAATGCGCCCTTTGGAGATGGTGAGAGGCGGCCATCCTCCGAGACGTTCATTCTCATCTGCATGCGCCATGTCAAAACTTTTGACCGTGCGGTACAAAAAGAATGCAAGCTCGTGGTCTGAAACGTCTAGAGTCATTTGCTCCGCTGCAGCAGGGAGAAGGAGGAGGAGGGAGCGCACACGACTAATCGGAGAAACTCCGAACCAAAACCTCGCGCACGAACCACTGCCTCGCAACCTCGAAAGAAGTCCACCGTCTGTCACGGGGCAGCAGCAGAAGCAAAGAGTGCTTGCGTGTCGGCCTCGGTCAACATACTGCTCGCCGGGGTCTGGGGAGACTTGAGTCCAGTGGCAAACAAGACTTTAGAGGTGGTTAAAGCTCAGGAAATTGGGGTTTCGGTTGGATCTAGACATTGAAGCCCTAAGCCGTAACCCCCTAATTAAACACAAGACTTGAAACCCTACACCAGCTGGGCTGGAGCACCGGTCGTCGATCCGTTCAGGCTTTCCACCACCAGAAGGCCCAATTTGCCTATGTTTTGTGTTACAGATCATTGCAACCTTTGTTGGGATGGGGTTTCTCATGAGCTCACGGAATTCTTTGTTATTTGCCGTTGTGTTTTGGGGATGCCCTACTTGCCCTCTGCTGTTGTATGTTGGGATCCCCTCTAACCGCCGGCTCCCCAGTCCTCTGCTCGAGTAAATTGGGGTCCTGAAGCCCCATGTTCGAACGCCAAAAGATCGCACTTCGAGTTTGGCAGAACTTCCAAAGCCATTGTAAAGCAACACCGCTCGTAGAAGCTGCCGAGTCCCAACAAGCATAGATGCTTGCTTGAGTCTGACGCTAGAGCCGGCATGGAGATGGATCTGCATGGGCTTTCCTTTTTTTGGCTTTACGGCTTGGGGGGCGGAACTGTAAACACCCTAGCGACGCCAAAAACGCCCTAAAAACACTCTCACAAACCTTCTTAAAATGACTTGTGCAGCCAGGGATTGAGCCTCGAACGCCTCAGGAGCCGGAGGAGAGCGCGTCTTCTTCACCCGCCTTCACTCAGCTCCTTGAGGTTCTCGGGCGGGCTCTTTCACTGTTTTTCTTAGGTCTTAGGGGAGTCTCGGCGCTTTACACGTTTTCCAGAAGGGATTCCTATGGGGGTTTAGGGCGGTTTTCTTGGGGATTGCTGAACGGAGGACCCCTTCCTCGAAGCAGTTCGCTCCGCGCCGTGCTAGAACACACAACCCCGAATCTTCGTCCAAGCCAAGTCCCACGGCTAAAACAGCACTGAAGCGCAAAATATACAGCATCATTATGCATCATTCCTTGAGCTCTGAGTATTCGTCTCTGCAGCTCTTTAGGAACCCCAAACCGGCCCCAAACCCACACGTAACCCTTTTAATCCCATTAAACTGTAATTACTGCTCTAAAGAAGCTGAGGGCTCTGGGAGCCTTGGGTCCAGACTCTCGTGCGCCTCACACTCTAAACTGGCTTACTCTAGTTCAGTTCAACCCTCCAAGACGAACCCGAAGCCTTAACAACATCAAAACTCGGGCAAGACCCGAAATTCATGTAGTCCATGTAGTCCTTAATTATAAGCCTACAGTCAGTAGTGGTAGTAGTAGTAGTAGTAGTAGGAGTAGTAGTAGTATAGTGGAAGTAGTAGTAGTAGTAGTAGTAGTAGTAGTAGTAGTAGTAGTAGTAGTAGTAGTAGTAGAAGTAGTAGTAGTAGGCCCTATAGCTCCCACAGCCCTATGTCCCTCAGTTCGTCTGGGCCGCCAAGCCCTAAACCCTGCAGGCTTCGAGCTCCCTGTATGCACTCCCCTGTGCGGCGGCTTAGCTGGACCGAGCGATTTTTGCAGAAGACTGTTTGGGCTTATAGGGTTTATAGGGGTTTTAGTGCTTATATAGGGTTTATAGGGGTTATAGGGTTTATAGGGTTTGGGGTTTTTGCGACGTAGAGTTTGGGGCGTGCCCGCATCATCCTAACACGACCTTCAACGCGAGGATCTCGGACCCCAAAACGTTCCGGACACTAATATAGGGGCCTGCGTAATTACCAATACTATTTTGGGGTTCCTTCTAATTATAGTATAGTGGGCGCCAAAACCCTGTTTTTATTCTTAAGGCCCCTATATTAAGCAAGAGGTTCGGATGATGCTTTCGGTCATGCAGTTGACTTGAACTGATAGTGGCACCGCACAGCCTGAGCGTTGACTTTGCCAAGTCGAGCTACGGCTACTGTTGATGATATAAACCCTGCATTATCTTAAGGACCCTAAACTATGGGAATTATAGTATATTCCCTATACTGGGAAATGCAGGTTTTATATCATCAACAGTAGGATATCTAAAGATGCTATCCATCTCGGCTCTGTGTTTTGGTTTTTGCACATCCAGCCATGGGTTCACAGCACTCTGGTCGCTTTTTGGCCGGGGGCAAATGGGCACCACGTACCGCCTCAAGCCATGGAGACACGGTATGCTGCTTGCTTGGCCGTCGTGCTGCTGATGACATCATCTTCAGTTATTCTACACCTGCCGAGATATCATCCTGTTGCGCGCTTGTCTCCGCAAAATGCTCTCAGAGATGTGAATCCAGAGCAGACCCTGTCCATTTGGCAACATTGGGCCTCCCAAAGCCCCGCCAACATTGAAAACTGCACCATACATGCCTGGATGGATGAATTGGCAGGAGAGCAGACCCTCCTCGAGAACGCTCTTGTAGTTTTCTTGGCCGGCAGCCAAAATGTGGGTTCGCAGGCTGTGCGAGGTTATCAAACAAGCTTGGGACTCATGGCTGAGACGGGCGGCATGTCATGGAAGGTGAAGATCGCGGCTTGCAACTGCGAAGCATTGGCTCCAGCCGTTGCCAATCTTGCTTGCCACTCTCCTGTCGTCTTCATTCATGTCAAGCACCAGTGCCTGTGTGAGGCTGATTCCACATGGACGCTAACTTCTCAGCAGCATCAGCTGTCCCATGTTGCAAGTTCTACCATGAAACCCGAGAGCAGTCTAGGGGAAGACTTGTAGAAATTCATAGATCTGGGGCCCTAAACCCTATAAACCCTTTTAATATACCCTAAACCCTATCGTATACACTAAACCCTCCCTTGTAATATACCCTAAACCCTGTAATTAGGCCCTACAACCGGGGAATGGACTCAGGACCTCAACGTACCGGAAGTGCCCGCTGCGTCGTGCGCTGCACATCTGGGACGTTGTTGATTTGCCCCTGCCTTTGCCGCGAGATCTCCCAGCACTGCATCTTAGTAGTAGAGTAGGTAACCTTTAACTTGTTTGGGGGTCTTATAATCCTCATATAAGCGCAGAAGGTCAACCTTTGGCTCCCCTTTAAGATACCGTTAAGGCTCCAAGTACCTGATTAGCCTAAGGCTAATATACCTTCCAAAACAGTAACTTGGACAACTAAGGTACCATGGCCTCATCGTCCAGACCAGCAGTCAGAAGCTCTCCGGTCTATCTTCGCACCGTTTTGAAACTTTAGGGTGTGGCTGTTTTGGGGTCTATTTGGAGGATCATTGGACTTAGTAAGTAGGTTACACGTACCTCAACTAACTAGGATTACAAGTAACCCTGCTTACACCGCCTTACGAAGTCTGCTCATCCTTTAAGTAGTGTTCAGGGCTTATCCCCCTACACTCGAAATCCAGTCGCTCGAGATCACAGCTTTAACCCAAGACCTGCACTCCTTTTTCAGGATGGAAGCGACGATGAAGTACAAAGATGTTCAGACCGTGGTCATTCCGCACCATACGGGAGCCAGTCTCCCTGGGGTCCTAGTGGCCAAGAACCTGACGAGCAAACCTTCGCATCCTTTGCAGATTCTCGGTCTTAGGTTCCGGTTTGGGTTGTTGGATCTGTTCCTGTGAACCAGGACTCATTAGTACATGTAGAACACAGTGACGGTTTTCATTGAACACTTCAGAAGCCAGGATTGGTGCTGTCTGTAGCAGAGAGTATTCCGCAGCTCTGGAGGCAGTACTGGAGTCTCTGCACCTTGACCCAGCAGCTTTCAATTACTCTCATGTTGATACGCTCTGGTACAAGCAGCAGCCGCCGATTGAGCTTCACCAGCTGATTGCTCAATACGATACGGTCATCACCTGGCATGAGACGGACTGCTACGGTAAGCACAACCAGTACAAGCCATATCAGCGAGCTGCCAACGCCGCTGCAACCCATGTACCCCCGATTCTCTCCGGGTGCTCTCTGAGCGCGGATGACTTTGCGACGCTTCGGTTGGACATGCCCAAATACCCTTATAACACAGAACGGCAACCCTGAGTCTTTGAAGCGCCATCTGGATGCAATGCTCGTGCCCGCCAACTGGGCCGCTGCACAACAGCATGCAAAGAAGCTGGCTGAATGCGTTACGCTGAAGAGTATTGTGACACTGTATGTCAAGTACATTACATTTTTGTGGCGGTCAACGGCTGCAGTTCAAGGAGTCCTGACAGCGTCGGCAAGAGAACCAAAAGCCCAAGGGTCAAACATAGTACATGTAACATGTATATGTATACAACATAGGCTCAGACGTACTTCTAAGAACACCTTTGCAGGCACAGTACAGGTACATGGACCATCACTTGCAGACCCCTTGAGCCCTTGATAAAGGGCTTCCCCATTTCTCTTGCACTCAGCCGGCAGAGCCGGAGTTGGCTTCCGTACTAAACAGCAAAGCCTAAAACCCCGGAGCCCTGAAGTTTGAATCCTACCCTCCTACACAACAAGGTGTCCAAACAAGATTGAACCCTAAAGCCCTAAGCCTGCTTGACCTCGAGTCGAGACCTGCGCTCAACTGCAAATTGCACAGCATCGCAGCAGAATATTCGTGGGCAAGAAGCAAAGATCCTCGACCCTTGAACCCAGGCCGGAACCCTCGGTCGCCATCTCCCAAAACATGAAACCCTAAAGCCTATAGGGTTCTACGTACCAAACCCAAACCCATGAAGCCTTAAACCCCTACAACCCATAAAACCCTCTAATACCCATTAACCTTGATCTCCAAACCAAGCCTTTCTTCACTCAGGCCCGGCATGTTCTACAGCTTTCGCCGACTTCCGGTGCTTCGCAGACGTCTGTCTTCTATAGCTTTACATGATCTGGCTGCAGTTTAGGTATGTTTAGGGTCAGGGCCTGGGGTTTTGGGTGAAGTGGGGGGGGTTTCAAGTTTGGGGTTGACGGAGGAGGATCGGCTGTGACTTTCAATCGTTATGTAGGATTTTCCCGATTTGACAGAAATACCTAAAGCTTCCGGATCGACAAGATCGCCGAGAAGGCAACAACAAACAGTTGACAGACCTTCAACCCCGGATTTGAAACCACCTCCTTCAATCAACCCTTATTTAATTGCACCCTCAGCTGGGAAGATTCCCCCATCTTTCCCGCATCTTTGAAGGCAGTAATGTAGAAACCTGACTAAGAAACCCTGGTCTTGAAACACCAAGAATATGAGGGTTCACATAAAGAACCTCTATAACGACTCAAGGTCTCTTAATTTGGCTCCTCTCTCGAAGCCGAACTCCGTAGTAATTCGGTTCCGAGGGACGTTGGACCCGACCTCGGCTTGCTCTCATGCAAATGGAGGTGGGCGGCTTCTGCGTTTGGGGTTTAAAGCTTAAGGTTCTTTTGGGTTTAAAGCTCAAGGGTTTAGGGTTTAAATCTTAGTCTTAGGGGCTTTGGGTTTTCCGTCGAAAGCTTATAGGGCCTAGGGAATTTGGGTTTAGGGTTCAGGGTTTCGACTTGAGCCCAAAATGAAGAAACAGGGGTCGCGGGTTTGGATACAGTGTTTTTTTGGTTTAGAGCCTGCGACATGCAGTTGGCGACCTGAGTCTTTGCCTTCTATTTACAACCCTTTTTGAGGAGTTCTATATACTATATTTTAATACGTGTTCTCACAGACTCACGCGACGTCGGACTCTTGATATCCTAGACCGCCTCGGGGGCAAAATGAGTGAGGATGTGTGTAGAATCAAAGTCTGATTCCTAAACCCATCCAAGCCCTAAACCCCTAAACCCTAAACCCCAAAACCCAACCCTAAACCCCCAAAGCCAAACCCTAAACCCCAAGCCCTATCAAACCCCAAATTGAGGCACGCGGCCGTGAGCCAAGGAGGCGAAATCTATGCCATGCCATGGCAAGCGGATCGCGTGCTGCGGATTCAGCTCTTTGGTCACATCAGTTAGAGGGTTTAGGGGTTAGGGTTTAGAGTCAGTTTGGTCAGATCAGTTACAGGGTTTAGGGTTTTACGGGTTTCAGGGTTTAGGTCAGAGATTTGGCTTCTATGAGTGTTTGTTGGGGTATGGGAGGTCACCTCAGTTGAGGGTACTAGTATCGGGATTTAGAGATGTGGTGTTTGGCAATGTGTTCATTATTGAATTTTGGGAAAGATCGGAAATACGGCTTGCATTGATCAGGTAGGAAGGCTGTAGACTGTCAAAAGAGTCGTCATATATCGCCGAACCACACCATGCGGCAAACATGTCCACATCCAGAGTCCCCTCGCATTGCCATTTTCGTGGAGTCTTTCCCAGCCACTTCCAGGCCCACGACCAGCAAAGTGTCGCTGCTGGGATCTTTGTCCACGACTCCCGAGGGTAAGCAACTCTGCCTGCAGCTGCAGTGGGAAGTAAACACGCAGTACGAATAGCACTTTGTACAGGTATACTGGGCCGCATCTTCAAATACCGAATATAGGTAAACATTCCTCTTTTAGCTTGGTTTTGAATCTGCCTCACTTCCGGAGTATTGGGCTGTTCGTAGCTCAGGCTTCATAGCGAGGGTTTCGAGCTCAAGCTCACGAAAGAAATCTGTGTGCCTGGCGTCCTAGAATTCCAGAATGCCCAGCCCTTCCAGCATTCCTGAAGCCAGAATAATGAGAATGAATACCTACAGAGTTGAAGACAGATTGCCTACTTCAGCCTTGGAAGCCAAGGTATGGTTTCTCCGTGCGAGCGGGTGGGTACGTTTGTGGCATCCCATGGGCTGCTACAGAGGCCTCCGGGTACGGGTTTTGGAGGATTCGCAGGCTGGATGCAGGATTCAGGGCCTGATTCACTGGGATTCAGGGAGTCTTGGGCAGCGTGCCGTGGGGTCTAAACTTTGAGGCTCACTCCAGTAGTTTGGGCCACTAACTCACAAGGACATCGGTTTGGGCTTAGCAGTAAAGTTGAATCGTCAAAGCTTCGGAGGTTCCATCGGGGTGAACAACTGTAACCTTATATCTGTATTTATATATATATATATATATATATATACATTATATATATATATATATAGAGAGAGAGAGAGAGTACGCAGGGATTGTGCAACAGCTTAGTCTTGCCAAGCGCCTGAGAGAGCCGACCGGCAGGAGAGGCAGTAATAGCTGTGGCTTGTGTGATGAGCCAACCCTCAGGGTCCAAAGAACCCAATTTTTTTACGACCGCCATGTGCCACCAATGCTGTTGTGATAAAAGGAAAATCGTCGTGCAAAGCGCGTAGGCGCTGTTGCCAAGGACCCAACAATTAGGCACTGAGGTTTCGGGTAGTCGTTTTGTAGGTTACGAGTTGGGAGAGTATATGATCATTTGGGCACTTGGACCCGTAGGGCAATATAAGCAGCTGGTATATTGATTGAAAACTTCGGCTAACTGACCATTTCAATCAGCGCGAGGCATCAGAAACGCTTTACTGCCTGAGTGCTTCAAGAAGATCCTGCAAGCCCGGATGCCAGGTCACCTGTGTACAGACTATGACGGACTCCCTGGTTTCCTTCGGAGACTTTTCTGGTGATGTGGCGCAGTGGCGCAATGCTGCTGCGAATGGAGATGGAGTGACACATCGGCATGTGAGCATAGCCGGTTGCAGTTTTGCACGTACGTAGTATGAAAGTAAGCAGGGAGACCACGATGATATGCCCCACCACCCAAGTCCTGTTGAGATTCGACAGCATACGCAGTTTCAACTTAAAGCCTCCATTCCGAAATTCGCCGCAAACCCCAAGATCTAACATGCCAAAGCCGCACCCTGTAGCAGGCAGACAACAGTGCAGACGGAGCAGAGCCCTCGTAAGCCCTAACCGCAACCCTCAAAACCCTAGTAGTAGAGTAGGTAACCTTTAACCAAAAGTCCGTTGCCGGCCTTCTGCCCACAACACTTCTGAGCTTGATTCGCAAATTCGCGAAGCTCGTCTCACGCCTTTCGCTGGGGACGCAGCTTATTCCACGTCGCGCTTTAACTCTTTTGGGGTAGTATAGTCCCTATATAATCCCTATTTTTCCAGAAAGGTTAACCTTGAGTTCCCCATGATACCCGACAAGTAGGAAACAGACCCAAGCTCTCCAAGGTAATCTTTGCCTTGCCGATCTTGGCTTCAGCCATCCTCAGGCGCTTTGGCCCGCAGTAGCGGCGCCTCACTTCCTGTTTGGGCAGGGAATAGGGGACCCCACGTATTAGGATCCTTGTTGGGGCAGGAACCCTGAGGCAAACAGAAGCTACCGTCTTTGGGGTGTTGAAGGCAAGACCCTGAGTCTTCAGCTTCAAACGCGCTCCAACTGTCTCAAAGCGACTTAGAACCCCTCTGCCAACTTTTTTTTTGCTTCGTCTGCGCGGTCTTGCCCCTCACCATGAAAATCCCAAGTCTCAGAAGCCAGGAAAGCTTCGAATCCCTAAACCACCAAACCCCCCAAAACTATAAATCCCTAAGCCCCTAACTCCTAAAACACGACACCCTCAGCCCCTAAACCCCAAAACTTTCAACCAAGATTCCCTGCAATGCGGGCCTCGTCCTGTTTCTAGGTAGGAGGGCAAAAAACTCTAAACCCTAAACCTTAAACCCTAAACCCAAAAAGCCCTAAACCCAAACCTCTAACGCACCTCCAGGATAGATCCGCGAGGGCGCGTCGCCGAGACTTTGGGATCTCTGCCCTCAGGTGGGGGGCATTCCGGTTAGGGTTTACTTAGGAGGTTGTCAAAATTATAGTCCCCTTTTGGGTCCCGAAGTTACTACAGCATCTAATATTTAGGGTACCCGAAGCATTCCGGTTACCTGAAGCCGGAAAGACCCACCTTTTTAGTGTTCCTAATTATGGTTTCTATATATATATATATATATATATATATATATAGATAGATAGATAGATAGATAGATAGTTCCTTAAAATAGGTAGGCCTTCTCGGCTACAGGTAGGGTTTACTTAGATCCCCAATACCTAACCTTTAAACTTTTTGGGGTCTTATAGTTGAAAAGGAATGGGAAAGTTTAGCCTTTTATTTCTGTGGCTTATTGGGGGGAGTAAGGTTAACTGGACCCTAAGAAACCTACTTTTTTAAAGGGTTCCTGCTTATGAGTTCCTTATATAGGTTATAGGGTCCACGTAGGGTTTAGGGCCGGTTTTGGGTTTACCTGGACTCTCAGAGACCTAGCTTTTTAAGGGTTCCTTGTTGTGACTTAATTTTGTAGGTCCTTGAGAATGTAGGTGTTTTAAGGTTCCTGTTATGATTTAGGTATACAAGTCCCTCAAAGATGTGGGTTTCATAGAGTCCAGGTAGGGTTTAAGGTCACGGTTTAGGGCTTCCCACATGTTCCGCCCGGAACCCCTTTCTCGCCCCAGTCCCCGAAAGCTCTAAAGCTGCAACCCTCGACGTCACGACGTAGAGCGGATATCCTGAAACCGTTAAACTCCAGCCAAGATCCGATATGTTCTGGTTTCTCCGCGAGCAGAAGGGCAACATCGAAACTAACACAAGTTTGGACGACTGGTCGGGTTCGACCAGAAATGCGGACAGGGAATGTAAGGCATCACAAGAGCCATGGTCGTGATCACAACTGTGGTGAAGCTGCTGGTGGATGGTGATGATGACTACAACGCGGTGCCACACTGAATGAAGACAACGATTCTGAGAAGAATCGATGAACATGGAGACGATGATGAAGAAGAAGACAACGATGAGAAATCGGCATTGTAATGGCACATCAGACTCAAGGGCACTAGAACCGAATTTCCAAAGCAGATGTAGCTTCAGTAGGACGTTTTTTGCAGATGTGGTTTTTGGCAACCTCCCTACCCTAAAACCCAGCCTCACAACCCTCAGCCCGAGACCCTAAACCCCTAAACACTCAACTCCGCAATACGACTACTTTTCACGAGAAAGCATACCCCTAAGCCCGAAACCCTTAACACTCAACTCCGCTAAAAAACTGTATTATATACGAGAACCCATAGTACCTGCAGTCTAAACCAAGAGCTGTGCGTTCAACCCTGAAGGTCGCTTTCGGTGGCTCGGCTGCTTGATCCTTGCAGGCTAAGGGCGTACCGATTCAGTGGCTTGAGGACCTGGTTGGGCAGGATAATAATGATGAATGCGCACGCCCCCCAGTCCGGTAATTGGCGGTAAGGGCCTCAGGCTTCCCATGGAAAGTCTTGGCTGCATAGCTTTCGGTTTGTCTTGTCATGCCATTCACGGCTACAGTGTATAAAACGCCAGGCATGTCTTGATCTCCCGACACTTGGTCCTCCTGCGCAATCTTTCGGAAGCTGGCAAAGGCCTTTCCCTAAAGGTCCAAGTCCCTAACAATCATATACTCTCCCAAATAGTAACCTACATAACTACTATCCGAAACCTCAGTACCTAATGATTGGGTCCTTTGGACCCTTAAGGCTTTTTTTGCGGTTCGAACTTCGGTTTAGGTTTCTGGGATGTACCCCCCCCCCCCCCCCGCCGAAATTCAGGGTGGAGAGATCCCAACACCCGCGAGAGCCAACAGATGGACCCGAACATAGGGGCTTGAATACTCAGCAATACCATTCCTCAGGGCACCTTAGAAGTATGAGTTGTACCGTATTATGCCCCCAAGACTTCTTCGAATCATTCCGGCCGGTAAATGAAGTGCTCGGGGAATCGTTGCAGCGCTGAACCTTCCAGACATTCACTCTCGGCTTGAGCCCGGCAACCTAAAGACATGAGTGGAGTTCCAGACTGAAGTACCTTAAACTCCCGAAGCTGAGAAACTTCACCTAAATCTATATGGGTTGAAGCCACCAATACGTTCGAAGTCTAAACCTCAGGCCACACCCTCAAACTCAAACCAAGATGCACCTACCCTCAGCCCCAGAACCAAAACCTCTGAGACCTTGAATCTTACGTCGGCCCTCTGCCCCCAATCGAACCAAGAACTTTGATTGTCAGAGCCAGCGTATTAGAGCATACGCCCCAAAGCTTCCCAGAATCGGGAAGGCAAGTCATGCCCGAAATGCCCTACATGAATCAACTCTCGTTTGAGTCAGTGTTCAACAACCAGACACCCCAACCTCCAAAACCTGAAGCCCGTAAACCATCTTGGGTCCCTAGATTCCCTAGATACTAAATTGAAATCCTGCCAAGAGTCAGGTGGACACCCGGGCCGAGCTTCAAAGATCACCTGCTGGGACTACCGGACTCAGAGTGACTAAGCAATCAAAGAATCAAACAACGGGTGGGCTACATATTCTATCGAAGCATAAGCTGTTTAATCTCATGGTTCCACCGCCTCCCTTCTCCAGCTCCTACAGAACTAAGACACAACTACATGCAGTCTTCAAGCATCCAGACACGGTCAGCAAATTGAGTCTCCGTCAACAGCAATACCAGGACATATGCCCCAGACACGGTATGCTAGCTTAACTCATGACTGCTTTGGCTCGCAAGTGAGGTGCTCGATTCTTCTGGCTGACATCGACCACGGTTGCGCGACATTGTGGCCTCGGGTTTAAGGATAGTTAGTGTGCCATGAGTCGGGGCTGTAGTTTGTCTCCTGTTTAGCATTTAATCCAAAGTGTCATACATCCGCGGCTTCAGGATCATGGCTCACCGAGAAAGCTGCTTAACCCATCGACTTGGTCGGGTCTTGTCGTAACTGTAGCTCCCAAAAGTCCTAGGAAGGAGATGCCGGTGTCGCTCGGAAGCCCGCAACTCAAAAGCCATCAGCCTACAAGTTCAGAAGACGGGCGCTCCTTCATCTTACCCTACGGCTCCAGTGGCCAGAGTGATAGGTTTCTAAGCAAATATTTTGTAACCTAATGAGTAACCCATGAATTTGGTAACGGGAGTCGGGGAATTCCATACAAATATACACACGCACACACACACACACACATATATATATATATATATATGTATAGAGCCATAATCTGGAGCTGGTGTTTTGGAGCCCCGGCTGGAGAATCCCTCAGGTCGTATCGAGACAAGTCGCGGGTTCGACTGCCACGGCGACTCACCTCGTCAGCCTTGTATCTAGCGTGCAGGGTTCTAGTTGACATCCTTGAGCGATTTCGACTGGCACTGTTATTCATTACGGGTTGAGGTTCACGCTCTTCCGAAGGTAAGATGGTCTGGTTGACTGGCACAACAAATTGAACTTACTTTGCTGAGCGGCTTCAATAGCTCCGGCAGTGGAACCGAAGTTTTCGAAACACTGCACACTGACGTGGTTATGACGATCCCTGTAGAAGGTGAACGCTCAAGACAGAACTCGACTTCGAGCTTGATTCTCTGCACGCCCAGCAGATTTGCATTGGGGAGGGGAGCTGTTGTCGACCCTCAACCGGTCATCACAACACCTTTCTCCCGATCGCTCGCGATGAGGAGTGAAGATGCACAACTGGCGCTCGGCAGTGGTCGCAAAGACAGGGCATGTCTATGCCGTGGCTTTGATTGAAAGGATACTTTGATTTGTTACCCCTAAACCCTAAACGGTAGGCGAGTTCTGGGGACTCTGGAGATCCGCACGGGAGGTTGCGACAGACTTACGTGGGAGACTAGTGGTAGTTAAAGGAGGGCGCCCAAAATGCTGACAAGGCGTAAGCAAACGTATATGCAGACATACATGTGACATAAACAGATGAATTGGCAAGTCTACGCATGCGTACCTAACAGATACACAAACCCCAACGTGGGATTCGTGCCCGCCAACCTTGAAGCCCCCAACCTGAACAATCCAAACCCGAATCAAACGCTACGCCTCTAAACTCTCCAAACTCTTAACCGTCTTGGCCCTTCAACTTTAGGGTTTAGGGTTTAGGGTTTGGACCCTAAGGCTCCATGTACCCATATAGTATGTACTTAGGCCTCAAAGTACCTATATAGGGACCCCTTTAAGGCTTAAGTATCTACTCTAAAGGTACATGGAGCCTTTGGGGTAACCGTCTTGGCCCTTCAACTTGGGTATTGCCGCCACTCAGTAACAGTTGGATATAATATTCATGGTATAGATATATTAGGACCTTAATCGTAGCCCTATTATGGACTGTTACTGCATGGGGGCCGTACCCAACCTTCAAACCTCTAAGAACAGTTCAGTGCCTATGCCGTAAATCGTGAGATCCAGGTTCCCTTGTGGGCCACCTCAGTGCTGAAGATCAGCATCGAGGGGGCCGTAGCGCAGGCCTGGGCACTTGCAATGTGGCGGTGATCCTCGCGCACTTTTGCTGCTGATGTGGTGGTATTTGTGCCAGTGATCAGGACAATGATGCCCAGTACGCGGATGATGTTGGTATTTGCATGGTTTGTTGATGTTGTCTCTGCAGGTGTTGTTGCTCGTCATGCGTGTGCCAAGAAACTGATGCTGAAATTCGCATTGATAATACATCGTCGTGCACTCGGGCCACGGGTCCAGTGATAGCGTTTTATGCTTGGCAGAGGATTGTACAGCATCCTGTCCTGCGAGCAAGAAGTGGGCGAAGGACTGACACGAAGATATGTAGTCCTCTACATACTCTCGCGGCCCGGAACAGAAAACGAGCATCCTAGCTGCTGTGGGTCACAACAACGGCAGTCTGTCGGAATGCAGAGGCTGTCAACTGCCCAGTGAATGAATTCCTTTCGTAGAGCTGCTTTCCGAGTGTTTCTTCAAGTGCCGCCACTTAGAGGATCGAGGGACTTACTAAGTAGGGTTACAAGTACGGTCACTATAATTCTACCTACTTATAATCCTGGTTAAGGTATATAACCACTTACTAAGTCCCACAATCCTCTAAGCAATTGCCACCACCTGAAGCAGGTCACGACTTTTGGCAAGTTCCAACCAAAGCTGGCAAAGTGGAACCATGCTGTGTTGGCTGGCGATGGTGGTTTGCTTGCATTCGCCAGGCTTATTGCTTAGTGGGCTTCTGGGGCTAGCTTATGTTACGTGGGCATCGGTTTTGTGAGCCGAAAGATCACAGGTGGCGTGGACATGGCTTCGTGTTGCAGCCTTCAAAGTTGCTAGTGCCGGCTTCGGTAGATCTCAAGACTTACACACATTGCGAGTGCTTGGGGTTGTGATGACGAAGAAACCTTCTATATTTAATTTACTTTACGGTCTTTTTGCTCTGCATCTACTCATAACTTCAGTGGCCGCGTGAATACCCTGAGCAAACAGAGGAAACATCTACGGCGTCCCGTACTCCGTGGGGAAGGTGTTGAGGATTCGACCCGATACGGATGAGGCCGGCCAGTTTAGCGCCTTCAGCAAATACAAGGCTTGGAAGAGTCCCGGAGACTCCAATACTGTATCCCTTAATTAAGGAAGATACCGAATATACCCTAAATTATAGTAGGAACCCTAATATGATTTAGGGAATATTCCATAATTAAGGGATATTGGAGTCTCTGGGAGTTTGATGGCAGAACTTGAAACTCTTCCCCCCCAGGTCTCGACGTTTGGATCTTTTGAGCCCGGACTGGCCAAGTGGCGGGAAGGCATCCTCGCCGTCGACGGCCCCTGGCCTAATGCAGAAGGTTTAGGGTTATTAAGGTTTAGTGTAAAAGGGTTTAGGTCGGAATTGATACAAGTAGTATCCCGTTGGAGTTTCTCTATAGTTGCGCCCTGATTCAACACCAGAACCAAATTTCAATTATTCAGGCCCCTGGCCTACTTAGTTTGGCAATGCACGGGATGTAGATGCGGAACTGATGGTGTCGTCTATCTTATTAGGCTTCTTGGAGGGTATTGGTTGCGCACTATGTCACTCTGTAAAGGGTTGTATCATAATGCCCGTCCAGCTAATTGCAGATGCGTGGAACACACCCTCTTACCAATCCTACACAACCCTCAACGCCTAAGCTTCCAAAGCTCCCGAGCCAAAACCCGTAGGTCTACAAGCCCCAGGCCATGATCTGCTCCCATTTTTCTTGCTTCTGATGGCCATGTTCCCAGAGAGCCCAATAATTATCCCCTAATTAAGGAATATGGGTTAAATTGTATGGGGCTTCATATTATGATTCAAGCTATGTTTCTGAATTAAGGGGTATTGGGCTGTCTGGGTTTGTTCTACCCAATCGCCTGAGAAACCGTGGTTTCACATACAGAATTTCGGGCAGACTTGCTACTTCAAGATTTCGTTCGCATTTGCCTTAGATTCCTTAGATCCTGATGAACAACGACTTGGGACTCTAGCCTCAGATTTGTGGCTGGAGATGTTAAGGCTTCATTTACTGCATCCCGGAGACCGCGGTCACCATCCTGAGGTGCCTTGGCATGGGACTCCATTTTCTGTCTCATGCAGTTCTCAGAACATTTACTCCGCGTTTGTCCGTCTGTTTCTTGGAGGAAGCGTAAAATAGCGTAGAAGTCAATGCAGTTCCCGAGACGTTCACTCTGTGTTTGTCCGTCTGTTTCCCGGAGGAAGCTTACACCACACCACTGTAGCAGCCAATACAATGCACACATAACCCTGCATGTGTGTAGACAGTGGGGGGGGGGTGGAAAGGCATTCACGACACTATGCATACATGCATACCTACGCACCGACCCACCTGCCGACCTACATACATACGTGCATATGTACATACGTACATATGTACATTCGTACATACATACATACGTACGTGCATACATACATATATATGTATCGATACACGTGCGCACACGCACACACAAACACGAACGAACTTACACATGATCCTGTGATTGCATACCCTGGTATGGTGTAGAACGACTGCGAGTCATGTCAGGATTGACCCTCGCCGTGGTCGAACGTCGCAACTGACACTCCACGGACAGACGGGCGCTGGGGTAACACCCTGGCCGATGTGGCTCTGCTGCTTATTGCCAAGACCTGGGGCTTTGGGTACTTGTTTCTTCATGTTTAGCTTAGGGTTTACGGATGTTTACGGCTGTTCCCCGTGAGCTGGGAACACTGCGATTGTGTAAGTTTGCTTTGAGAAAGTGTTGCCGGGTTGGCCCAGTGGTTGCTGGGTCCTTCCCTTTTGCTGCTGTCTCAGTCGGGCTTTCATCAGGCCCTTGTAACCTGCACAAGGCTTTCTTAAAGCAGGGTTGTCGTCGGGACCACAGGGGTATAGCGTTTGTTATCGAGAGACGCAGTCTCAGCTTCTCAGCTTTGAGTTGGTGGATCTATACTGCTCCCCGAAAGCCATTCCACATATCTGTCAAATTCAGGGCCATGCTTGTCTTTGTTCGAAAATGGGGTTCTCCAGTACGTAACCCTTTCAGCATGTTGAGTTCCTAGACAGTCCTACCCTTCTGAAGAGCTTAAGCCTCATTTTCTCTGGTCTTTGGCAGAGTGGGAAATGATTTCGTATACACCACATCCTTGTTCTAATCATCCAGATATTATATATATATATGTGTGTGTGTATATATATATATATATATATATATTTATGTGTATATGCGCCCATACACCCATACATACATACCCCTATTAATAACCCATTATTGCACTTGAGGATTCCTGTGGAAACCGGGACCACGACCACAACGACGGTGCCGGGCTTGGCAGAGATGAGTCGAAGCTCTCTTGTTTGCTTTGCAAGGGTTTTGGAAGCTGGGGGTTTCGGATGTTGCTGCTTTCGGTGGGTTGAGTTTTTAGGATTCTTTGGTGCTTTTTGGGTTTTGAGTTTGGGGTTTGGGGTGCGCTCTTACTTGGAGGGTCAGTGGGCTTAGGAAGTGTTTTAACTCATGGGGATCTGTGTGCTCTGAACAGGGTCATCGGGCTGAAAAACGATGTGTCTGCCAATCTTGGCTATGTCCCTGGCTTGAAGTAGGAAGTCGGTTCTCATTAAACCCTAGAGATCCGTTGCCGTTCTGGCGCAAGAGCAATCTGGAAAAAGGCATTCAGCCTTCCGACTGTGAGCCTTCCCCTAACTCCTTGCTTGAATCGCCATGTTGGACCTGATCACGATCATCTCCGCGGCGGGATTCTGGGCTTTGGAGTATCTTAATTGACAACTTTTTTCTTAAAGGATACATGAGGGATGATAAAAAGCACCGCTATCGGGGTTTGGGTGGAAGCGTCTTTAAGTCAAGAACATTGCCTATTCCTTGTAAAACGATAAGAGTAAAAAAGAACGATAACCGAGATTTTTAGAATACGCAGTCCAATTGCCTGTAAAACGATAAGAGTGGCAAATGGCGCATGAAGTAGATCACACAGACACAGACCCCAAGTCCTGTAAAACGATAAGAGTAAAATAAAACGATAACCATGTTAAGGGTCATGTAAATGGATGGGGGTTATTCACGCACCCTCACATTATGAATACTTTATACTTTGTTTTAAAAGGAACCATTATGAATATGTTATAACACTTGTTTCTTAAAGGACCCATGACGGAATAAAAGTGTCTCCCTGGTTACTTGAAAGCCCAGGATTGCAGCAGGAGCTGAAGTCCGCACACGGAGACAGGAGCTTGATGATTCAGGACGAAGTTGCTGAAACGATAGCTAACCTTTCACGGTCGGGGGATAGTATATTCCTACCATCATTTTCAAAGCCCTAAACCCTAAACCCTAGACCGAAAGGGCTTCACCTTTGATTGGATCATTTATGTAGTCGGCCGCTACTGCGAGGAGGAGTCGGCGGAGGAGGGAAGCTTCGTGGAGAGCGCCGCAAGTCAGGTCTCTGCTGCCCTGGAGTCCTTCGATGAGGCCTTAATGGGCCTGTAAAGGGATCTATAGGGGTTCCTTTAAGGGCGCCTTTCAGGGTCCTCGAAGGGATTTATAGGGGTCCCTTTAAGGACCCCCAGACAGTAGGAACACTAATTAAGGATGATGATGGGGTGCCTTGTTACCTGAAGGGCATTAGGATCATCATTAGGAGGATGATGTTCCAAGTTTCCGGCTTCTACTGTAGACACCTTGCAATGTGAAACCCTGAGCCCCACGCTTTAAAGCCCTAAACCTCAAGCCTGCACTACTTCAAACCATACTAGCCCTCAATCCCAAATCCGAAAACCCAAAGCATAAACCCAAAACCTCGAATCCCAAAGCCTTGAACCCCAAATGAGGCAGTCTCCCAGGGGATGAGTGCCCTCTTCGGCAGCAGCTCTTCTTCCGACGAAGCCCCCGTGGCCCCGAAGAAGGTGGACTGAGCATCAGACAAGGAACTCGCAGCTGGAAGCAGATCGGACGGGCAAGAGGCTTTGTGATTTTTTGTAGCATGTAATATCTTAGCCTTAACGACTTCAGGGAATCGGGTAGCGTTACACTGTTGGGATAATATGACAATTGTGCATGTGTAGTTAAGTTGGTGGGATTCATCGAAGAAGTGGTGGCTGCTGTTGCAGTCAGTGTCACTTGCCACTTCGACCTGTGAAGGATGATCTGGTCGACTTCCAGCTGTAGTCACAGAAGATTGCTTAAGCAACACAGTGCCTTTCTTTCAGCTTGAGGTGATGTGGATACAGAAAGGCCAGAAACGTGACCATGTGTGGTTTAGGGATGTTAGTAAGGATTACAGCCTGACGCACTTCGTCTCAAACCCTCCATGCTGAGAAACCCTACGACATAAACCCGGGCCTCTCGAGTTCTGCCACTCGTAGAAAAGGAGCTCAAATAACCTAATGTAGGAACGTTGGGCCTAGAACCCCAAAATAGTAGGATTCATATAAGGAACCCTGATTAAAGCCCCAAGGATTCTTTATCAGGTTCCTACATTATTATAGTACCCTCATAGATCCCTTATAGTAACCCTTATAGTTCCTTTAGGATTCCTTTAAAGGGGACCTCTTAGGGTTCCTGCCAAATCTGGCAAATTCTGGGTTTCCTGGCATCCACGCGCCCCAAGACACTCGAGCTGGGACTGAAAGCCTCCATCCGCAGCGAGCAAAAGCTCATGAGCTTGAGAGGTAGCAGGTACATCTTTTGGATACGGGATTGGGATTTAGGGCTGTAGGGTTTAGTGAGATTTAGGTAGAATTTATGGTTTAGGGCTTGGTTCTGTGACTGGGCTTGTTGTTTTGCTCGGAATTCTGTTGGCCGTTTGCTCACATGTTGTCGCTCTGAGCCTCGTCAATCGGCTGGCGCCCAGTGCTCTCTATCTCAGCTCATAGGACATCAGCCTTCAAGGCCCGTTCCTGAACAGACTCATCGTAAGCCGGGCCTGGAATCTTTCGATTGCGAGTGTCACCGAATTCAAGCCCTAAACTCTTGCTTCAAACACGCCTAACAACCCTTGGCCTTGAACCGCTTCCTATACTATCGGTATGTTTGCTTCAAAGCATGTAGAGTAAGCACCCTTAGAGCAGCAACTTCCGAGGTGCAGATAATGTGTTTTGACTTCGACTGCCCGGGGAGGTCGCAGTACCCTGGCTGCAAGGACGACGCAACGTAGTCTCCGGAATTAGAGAATGGGGTTGCATGTAGAGGTCTGAAGAATTGCTCATGCCAGTTTTTGGGGTAATGCTATCCGAGAGGTTGCAGTGACCGTCAGCCTGTCGCGCTAGAGATGTACATGTAGATAGCCTGGTTCATGTATGCATACGTATATGTGTAAGGCTTACGGCAGCAGCGTGTGACGATTGTCGCTTTGTCTCATTAGTTGTGCTGGACAGTGTCGCTGTCATTGCGATGGTGCCTATGGCTAACAGCATGTTCCAATCACAAGCAGCATAGTTCGAAGATGAGAAATGCTCATGATGCAAATCAACAGTTGTCGCCATTATTCCTGAGGCCCTTTTCGACACCTTATATGCGGCTTATGCTACGGAACGAAGTACCTGATTCTGGTATGTCCCCCCCCCCCACCACCCGACGGTTGAGTTAACGCTTCGCCTGAGGTGGGTCTTATTATTCCTGTTTCTACCATGCCGTTGAAGAAGGTGGTGATTATTCTCCGGGGTTCTCATGAATCAGTCTGGAACACCGACAGGCTGCAGAAGAGACTGGTACTCGTAGTGCAGTGCACTAAACACAAGCATATCTCGTATAAACCCTAAAACCCTGTAAACCCTAAAATGATTATCATAATGCCAAGGTCACCGAAATCCAGGCTCCTAGCCGTCAGACCCATGTCACATGCAACATGGTCGTGCATGACAAGCTAGGATTTCGGGTGTAGGGCAGGGTCTGCAGCCTGCAGCTCAATGGAAGAAAGCCTGGAAGGACTGTTCGAAGAATTTCGAGGGGTGAGTCTCCGATTGCGTAGGGCTCCAGGTACCCAAACAGTCGCTTAGATGACTACCATGCATAATATGTAACCCGGCAACCTTTTTTTTGTTGGAAAAAGGAGCCCTCCCTATAGGGAAGGATCTTGGGGCTTGGAGGCTGCGGGAGGACGCTGCCACGATCGTTTGTCGCGAGGAGCCCTGCATCTCGGATGCAAGCCTCATGTTTTTTCCGAAGCAGGTATTAACATACATGTGTATATATATATATAGAGAGAGAGAGAGGTACATGTATCGCATATGTATGTACATTTATGCATTTAGCAGGGAGTATGTGGGTGCCGAAGACTCCCAAGCCACAGTTGGAGTGACAAGTCGGGGGTCTCAAGTCTTGAATCTTCATCAGCTTCAGGTTCATATATAACTTAAAAACCTACACCGGATGCCAATGTGGAAGCCTTCAGAGATGTGTAGGGTGTAGGGTCCCACGTCGGTTGAGTCTGGAATTAACCTGCAGCACGTGACGATTCTGGCATGAATAGGTTTAGGGTTTGGGGCCTTAGGGATGGGGCCCCGGTTTGCCATAGTTTCCGGATTAGGTTGAGTTGCATGTATGGGCTGTAGGTAGGTGTGAAGCGAAGCTCAGGAGCACGCTTAGATCTGCAACATCGAACGGGCTGAGCATGTTTGTACAGCAAGCGGAGACTGTCCGGGTCCGGTCCTACGGGACCGGACCCATCCTCTCACGTGTCTATGTCCTTCTTTTGTGTTTTGACAACACTAGAGCCGTGCAGAAAAGCCTAGAAAAGACTTTCTCCAACGTTTCGAAGCAGGAAGCAGAACTCTTACAAAACCGAAGCTTCAAAACCCGAGGCCCAAGCCGCAAGAAGGACCTCTAGATGATCTCTAGATGAGACTAGGTAGCCTCTCCTGCTGCCTCCGGAGCTGTGCTGATTTCGATTGTCCCGAGGTCCACTTCCGGGGTTCTGGGTTCAGGGTTAAGGTCGTAGGACGTAGGATATGTATGGCCTGTCGGGTTTCGAGATATTGGGTGGCTCAGGAACTTGCGTCATTGAATATTGAGCAATTGGGGTTCAGGTGTTGGGAGTTGGAGGTTTTGGAGTTCTGTCCTCTCCGACCGTCGGAAGTGACTCGTCGCTTCCGAAGTACTACTGCTGGGCCACGAACGTTTTTCTCGATTCTTGTTTTCATCTGTTAATCAATACAGCTACACTCAATAGAATCTTGGTTGGCGCCTCTCACTATTCACTGGTGCCAAGCAGCTTGTAATGTCGGCGAAGCGATCCCCGAACAGGGCTACGCGCAGAAGGCGTCTGCTGCGAGCTTCAGCTGCGCCTCAGGCGAGCGGCTTCCTGTTTAGCTGCTGTTTAGTTTTAGCTGGGGTTGGGGTTGTTCGGCATGGTCGTTCTGCGCAGTGTCGTTGTCATGGGCAACGTGTCTGAAATGTTGTTCATCTGTTTTAATTTGATGGTGGCTCAGGCTGCCATGGAGCCAGACGCGGCCTAATAATTACATCTCGCAACACATACATTGCGAAACTCTACACCCAAAAGCCCTAAACAAAGCCTATACTTCAAACCCTTGGTAAGCCAAGTGGGTGGGAAGAAACCCTAAACCCCACACCAAACCCTAAAAAAAATCAAGGAAGAGGCAAAACCCCAAACGTGACCCCAAAGAGGCGAAAGCCTGGGCCTCGGTAGTATACTACTACTACTACTACTAATTACTACTAATTACTACTAATTACTACTAGTTACTACTAATTACTACTAATTACTACTAATACTATAATACTACAATACAACTAATATTACTAAGACCAATAATACGAGTAATACTGCTAATTCGAGCAACTACCAGGTTTCTGTGGCAGCAATGATCTGCTCACCTGCTGCGACGTGGACCTGTTCTATCCGAACGTCTTGGTGCCGTGCCGCGGCTCTAAAGATTCGATTTGTCGGCGTCTTAGTCTTCTTTTCGTCACCGGCCATACTAGTGCTACCGTTGTGATGTGTGTAGCTGTTGGTTTGGCGGGCTGCAGGGCCTAGCCTTTAGGTCGAGGGTCAATGTCTCGCCACAGGTCTCGCTTATACGCAGCCGTTTGTTTGCCTTTTTGTTCGGTGTCCATGTGTTGCTCGTATTCCTGTTCATGCTGTCTCAGCCGCCGCTACATGTCTGTTGAACAAGAAATCAAGAGATGCACCTGTATGTAGTTCTTCGCAACTTCGGGAAGAAGGGGGTCCCTCATCCACTCCTGCGATTAAGGCCCGGCATCCTGAAGAGTGATACCCTTAAGCCTGAACCCTTAACCCGAACCCCCCTAAACCCTAAAGCCCTAAAGTGTGATTGTCCCCAGGCTCCTTATCTTCGCATCCACTGGCTTCGCTGCCGCCTCGGGAATGGGGTTTTCATGGCGTCAGAGGGAAGATGTACTAAGCGTCTTTTTAAGCCAGAACTCAGGGTTGGGAAGGCCTGCGGCCTACTGTAGGGCCTCGGGTTGCTTCAGGGAAAACGGTTCAGGGTTCTGACCTGTGTAGAGCATGAGATGGCAATGAGACGCTGATAGTGTTTGTGATGGATGCTGGCTTTAAACAGCTAAACGAACAAGGTGTCTGACACATGTGTACGGTATACTGCTTTCACAAGATACACTATGCTGCTTGAAACTCTGCTTGTTCATCGGATCCCCATGTACAGTATGTCTGTAGGCGCTTCCTGAAGGTGCTTCTGTACTGGAGTGACTGAGGCCTGCATATTTGCACAGACCCAGCGCTGTCGCAAAGAACGGCTTTCGTCACACAGGCCTGTTCGGGGTGGGGAGGGGGTCACAGCCCTGGAGGGGTTTAGGGTTTACGGTAGTTTAGGCCTAGCTTGCTGGTATCTCATGAAGATGTTGGGAGCCCAGCTTGCCGACATAGAACCAAAGCCCGTGCTGAAAAGGGCTAGGCCTAGATCCCCGATCCGAAGCAAGCCCAGAACTTCAACATAAGAAGGAAGTTCAGCATCGCCTACTTCACTGTCCTTTTTGCCTGGGATGTGTGCGACCAGACCGCTTCCTGGTGGCGCCTCGGTGGAAACATTTAGGGGCTTACTGGTCATAGGGATTTATAGGCGGATTTCATGAAGAACTATGTCTAGGGTTTCTATGGGGATTCTAGGACGTTGTTGTAGGCGCTTGCGCAATTTGCTATTATGTCCTTTTGCTTTGGTTTGTGCAGGAAGTTTCTAGAACTCACCAAGCCCCTAGTCGTCTTAATCATTCAGATGCCTACATTAGTTTTTCCAGTGTTACGTGCTTTCAGTTTTAGTAAACTGTTTTAGGGTGCTGTTGTCAGGCTCTGGTGGTTTAGGGTGTTAAGTCGTGTTGGAATAGGGTCGTTCGGAAGCTTCGGAGAGAACCCGTTCGAGCTTAAGTTCAGCTCTAAGGAACTCGGCCGTAGACCTGGGGCTAGAGGGTTGAGGGGTTCAGGGTCCAGGAGTTAAGGTTCAGGATTTAGTAGTTGAGGCCTTTAGGGCAGGTTCTTGGATCATTTGAGCCAAGAGATGTGCACTGTTCAGGCACTCATGCCTCTTGGATGCCCTACTGAACCCTAACCCTAAATCCTAAACCCTGGGCCGTAAACCCTAAACCCTAAACTCCTAAACCCTAGACCCTAAACCCTAAGCCTAAACCCTAAACCCTAATCCCTAACCCTGAACCCTAAAACCCTAAACCCTAAACCCTAACCACTGAGGTTCTGGGAATACACTGCCGATGTTGGAGCCTCTCAGGCAGGAGACAGGGACCCAAAGGTGCTAGGTGCTGCTATGGGGAATATACCTCCCCAATTTTGTAGTAATTCCTACTAAAGGAACCCTACATTCTGCTGTATACTGAGTAGTAATTCCTAATGACGAAACCCTACATTCTACTAAAAAAGGCACTTTGGACCCTTTAAAGGGGAGTGCATCCGTATAGGGAACTCCAGAAAGTTGGAATATGGTTTCATGGTAGGATACCCTATAATTTACCATAGAAGGGTTAGGATAATCATATTCCAACTTTCTGGCTTTTACCTTAAGCCTGAAGGCCGAGAGTCTTTTTCTCAATTCCCGAGGCTTTGAGTCAGTGGAGCTTCGATCGATCAGTTACTTAGAGGACTTAGTGAGTAGGGTTGCTTTAAAGGGATCTATAGGGTTCCTTAAAGGGATCTGTAGGGTTTAGGGTCTACTTAGAGGATCATTGGGAGTTAGTAAGTAGGGTTATAGGTACCTTCAATGGGGTTATATGTAGATATATAGTTATAGTTACCTTACTTATAACCCTGCTTACTAAGTCGCATGATCCTCCAAGTAATACCATGCCGCTCACGTTATCCCACCAGTTACCCAAACCTTACAGCAACCCATGTAATATCCAGGTTCCTACGTTTTGCAAGTTTGTGCATACAGAAGATTAGAGAGATTCTGAAGCACTAGTTATAAAGAGCATTCCATACTGAGGTTATAGCGGAAAACCTGGTTTAGTTGCAGTTCTGTGGGCAAAGTCTTCCAGGAAGACAACAGGGAATGTGCAACGTGGATCCCAGGATGGCAGGACCACTGAAGCCTGGCTTCGAGAAGTAAGGAGCACGAAATGGGAGTTTCCGAAAATTGGGGTACCTTAGTTGGGTTCCCTATAATAAGGATCCTGCTAGTTAGGGTGCTATATTGGGGTCCCTATTTTCGGAAACTCCCAAATGAAAGGATGAGTCCTAGTTCTGAACACGAAACCAGTGAAGAACTAAATGCCTCAGCTGCTAGCATGGCTCTTTCGGCCACCTGCTTTGTCACGCTGGTTGCTTGCAAGTGTAGGCCCCCCGTTTAGCAAGTCACCTTTTTGTTTGTAAAAGGATCCTGGGAGTTGTATGATGAGATGCTTCCATCCTTCCTTTAAGAAGTTCCTGAGGGATGCGGCTGACTCTGCTTTCAGCCTGCCCCGCTGCATGCAGGGTGTCCAAGTTGCTGCGATGATGTCCTCGATGATGGGCACTGGAGTGATTCTTTTCGCCTTCTTCGAGCCGCGGACGAAAGAGTTTGGGGTTCGGGGTTGACACGGCTTCAGGATTCAGCGACAAGAGGGCTTGGGGTATAGACGTACTATCGGGCATTTGGGACTTTTGATTTTAGCTTCACGGCTTTAGGGCTTTGGTGGTCGCAGTAAAGGACCAGGTTGGGTTGGTTTAGAGTGCAACCGGAGCGGCTTTCCAAGGCTTCTCAGTGAGTATAACCTTCAGATTTGCCACTTTGTGGTGAGAGACCCCACGCACACCGATGTCACCGCTTATGGCTATGTTTGTGACTACATGACATGTCTTGTTCTGAAGCACATCCCAGAAACACGGTTAGATGCGAGGGTATGACTACTGCAATAGTGTGCTTCTCTTTCAAACCCTCTGGGGACGCATAGGGACATCTAATGAAGAGGGCTCCGATAGTCGGGTGCTTCAAAGTCTTCCTGAGGAGCCCGGAAACCCCGAATCTCCACGTCGTGCTTGGCTTCCGAGGGCGGTCTCTTTCTAACGACGCCTCAGCTGCTGGACCAACGATGCCCAGTGTCCTGGCTATGACTCCTTGCAGTTTTTCACATCTATGCACTCTGCAAGCACCACGTTTAGAACAAGCAAGGGGCTGTGCCAAAGAAATGCACTCCATCAAAAGAGACAGAAAACCTCTGGCGGTCTCCCTGTCACAGTACATGAGCAACACAGACCGTTTCAAGAGTCTTCTGCTTCAGGAACCAGGTACTTGCAGGATCATTGGACTTTGTAAGTAAGGGCTGTGGGTACCCCCATTAACGGATACAAGTAGATGTAGCAATAATTTCCTTATAACTTGTTACTAAGTCCAATGCTCGTCTAAGTAGACCGTAAAGCTGCATGAGGGCACGAACCATGGAATGAAGGAGCTGAGCTACTCCGTCGCGGCCGGCTGCGCCGATGATCCCCAGCTACAACCTACCTTTTTCAGGGTTCCTTATTATGATTACCCGATTACCTTATGCAAGTCCTTGAAAAGGTAGGTGATTATTTGGGGTGAAGGAAAGCCTTACACAGATGCATGTCATTTATGCGTGATGCCAGGTAGTGACAATGACCCTAAACCCCGAGCCCCGTACCTAAACTCTACGCCGCGCCGTGCAGTCGGTAAATCCCGAGCTGAAGCGCCTTGAGGGAGCTCGGGCATGCAAGCATTCTTTCCACAAGACTCCATGCATGAACTTGACTTCGGATGGATGTGGAGCCCAGGTTTTTTTCGCAAGCGACAGCCAGTTGGACTTGTAGGCCCTTGTAGGCATGGTTCCAAGTTCCAAGACCCTGAACCCGTTCATTGAACCGAGCTGTATGCGAGTAGGATGACTGTCCAGCCGTGCAGCTTTTGTTGCCTTCATGTCCTTCACATCCAGACCTTCCAAGCTGTAGCCTTTTAACGGAGGAGGTTCGGGTCCATTGTTGAAATCCTACGCCCGAGAGAAGCCCTTTTTCAGCTTCGCATCAAATGCAAGAATACTCGTGCTTAATGAGGTGGTCATGCTGATTGCGGTCTTTTGCTTTGAGATGGAAGGTGCAGGGCCAAGTGGTTTGTCAAATTTTGGCAATGACAGGGACCGTACGGCTTATGATCTGTGAGTCAGACCCTCAATGCAATCGATCGTGTAAGTGTGTGCGAGCGTGTATGGAAGATGTTGGATCGAAGATGGTAGCATTGTGTCATGCTTTCTAAGCTGGAGGGCCGTATCGTCACTGACAAGGCCGCTTCCCCCCCCAACGAAGCTGCCCAGTTCTGTTAGAAGCCCTTTTGTTCAGTACCCCTTTGCGTGCACGTGCTAAATGTCTCGTTGAGCTCGGCAACAGGTCTTTCCTCAACTCAGTCCCCTAAACACGGCACGAAGGAGTTCGTCTGGCCATGCGGGAAGTCAAACGTCCACCTTAAAGTTTAGGGTTTAGGGTTTAAGTACCGGACGATGGAGGCAAAGATCAGGGCAGCTGGATCAAGGTCCTGAATCTGCAGCCTGGCCAGGGCTTGGGGGTTCTAGCGTTCAGGAATTTCAGGAATAGCCGGGGCTTCGAAGGCATTAGATTTCAATAGGGCTGCAATAGATTTAAGGCAGGTGGCTGTTCATGACGGTTTTTTGGGCTCTTTGGGGTCAGGGTACCGATTCGAAAGTGCAATTATTGGCACCCGGTTTGGAGCGAACTGCTTGTTTCGAGTCTTGGACCGTGCAACTGTGCTTGCTCTTCGCGTTTTCCCGGAAATGTTTTGAGGCGGGGCCCACATCATGTAAGATGCTTTTTGAGCCGTACTGTGCTGGGTTGGTTGCTTTACTTTGTGATGCTGCTCTCTGTGCTATATCCGGGACGACACAGCACGTTCTGGAATCCGTTTTCTAGCTTCGAAGTACAAGCCTGGCTTACCCAAGCCACCAGACAAACTATGCACACGCGACCAATTCGCGACCGATTCGCGAAGGTGTAGGTCCAGGGTTTAGGGTTTTGGCTTGTTGAGCCCAGGATAGCGACGCTCATCGACTTCGTGCTCAAGGCCACTTGGCTTGGCACACGCACTTCCCATACTCTGGTCATCGGTCTCACGGTCGTTCGCTTCGTCTATGCTCCAGACATCGTCAGGACATGTGACTAAAGAGGTGTGCTGCGGATTTTTCGGTGTGACAATTTGCACTTTTAGTGGTGAGCCGAGAGGGTCGTTGTAGCCGTTGTAGAGCTTTGCTAGATCATTGTCCTATCTGTTTCATGCATTGTTTTTTGGATTCGATTCTTTATGGCCACGTCAAGCCCGGCCACCAAACAGTATCCTGGATTCGGATGGCGGGGCCTTCGTCGCGAAGTTCAGTTTGGGGAGGGTCTAAACCCCAAGCCCTACACGAGACACCCAGCTATCTGAGGCTCAAACTGTTTGACCCTATAACCCCTGAACACTAAATCCTAAACCCAAGATCCCTTTTCCCGACCCCTCCTCCCTTCCCACACGTCCCCTCAAAGGTGATGCAGGCAGCCGCCGCTCTCTTCGGTGCTTCTCTGGCTTCCTGCTTGCAGATATTAGCAGGC